CCAATTAAAATGCAGGATTTGCATTAGTCCACTAGTTGGGTGATACTAAAATAATAAAGACAGTGTGGTGAAGATAACATCAGAGTTTTGTGGCCAGCGTAAATCGTTTCTTTTCCAATCGAAAGTTACATGGCGTGTCACTGACGTCACAACTTATCGATGCTCACTCTGTATTTTGATTGAACAAGAAGATTCTGAAACTCTTTGAATGCTAGCTAATGCTCCTACAAAAGGTTTTTTCAAACAGTGAATTACCTGGATCGCTAGCTTTAATTCCACTTGATAGGATGTCTTACTACTGAGCCTGTTGTGAGCGAGGCATTGTAAGTACTTGTACTCTCACATATGATATATGCCTTGCGTAGTGCTGTAGTCAGTGAAGTCAAAAATGTGACTTCTGTACTTAATAACGAGAATTGCTGCTATGTAGATAGTCCTTGCAGGACACACATTTCCTCAGAGCCTAAGCGAGAGGTTGTGCGGTGGAATACCAGTTATGGCCGATGCAATTCTTTTGTTATATGTAATACCAAATTTCTATCTATTGAAGTGAAATATGTCTTTGTGTCTCATACAGGGCCGTTCTGTGGTTCGAGTTTGTGAGTCATTAAGTAAACTGCATGAATATGTCAGTCCAAGTGAACTCAAGCTACCAAGCTCCACTGTGTCCCTGGAGGAAGACTTGAAGGCAAGCAGTTCTTAAAACATCGTTTCTTCGTCTATGTTGATTAAAGTAATTAAACTAAAGCTAATGGTTCCACTAACGTACTCCTCAATGGGGTTGTCCTCTAAAGAATATAAACACATTAAATATAATACTGATTTTATGGTGTTAGATGAATGAACGTTATCCTCTTTCTCGTTAGCAATCCTATTGGCTTCCTGTCATTTGTCAAAGTGTGATCTACAAGGTCGAACTATTGTTGTTCGCACTTACGTATTTATCAACTTGAAATTGATAAAGGGGACGAGCGAGTGGAAAAAAAATGTGAGGGGTTTGGAGCGAGAAAGGCGGTCTCACTCTCGCCATGTTCCCTTTTTGCTCGCCCCCACAAACCAGAGTCTGGATCAGGCTATAGGAAATCATGCTTTAAGTATTGCTTTGTTTCGTTTGTTTTCCACAGGTTTTTCCCGCTTTTCGGGTGTCAACGAGAAGTAGCGTTTTAGTCAAGGTGATTAGCGATTTTATTTCCTCGTTTGGTAAAGTAGTATTTATTGTTTGAATGATCTTCTCGTCTTGGGAGGTTCCGTGGGTTGATGACTAGCGAGTTACGAACTCCTGCCCGGGGTCGTCGCGTTTTCGTTTGGGCAAAAACACGTGTGCATTTTCCACGTGGGAGATAGCCTGCAGAACAGGCGGATTAGCGGGGCAGAGGGCGAAACGCGATGCACGAGCGCGGAGCGCGACCACTTGCGCGAAGCACGAGTCAAAAATATCTGCCCCGCTAATCCGCCTGTTTTGCGGGCTACGTAGGGGAATGAATGAATTTTAACAATTCGTTACTCTGGGAACGAGAAGAAACCTAGGACGTCTGGTGTCCCAGTAGCTTGTGGCACCGTTACTGGGAACAAAACAAATGATGAGAAGAAATATTGTCCTCAGTAACGATCCCAGAGGCTACTGCGAGACTAGACTCGCCCCAGATTTCTTCTCGTTTCGAAAGCGGGAAATTGCCTAGGCGCCTAAGAGAAACGCTGGGGGTTATGGTGGGGTAGAATATTGCATGCCATCCAGGCGGGGCGGGGGTGGGGTGGGGTAGTAATACCCCTAATGGCTTCATGCCTTAAACACCGCTCTAACTGTCGCTCTAACTTCTTGATTTTGTTGTTTTCAGGTTGGACCTACGTCAGTTCAGATCACCACTCCAGAAAGGCATAGAGTGTTGGGTTATTCTAGCATTCTAAATGACGTGTATTATGCTTCCGAAGTTAAAGGGGTAAGTTACTTATGTTATGAGATCTATTGTGATATCTTTCCTTACACCTGTTCCTAGGTCAGGCAAGGGAGAGTCTCCAAACAAATGCTGCTGCTTGCAGATTAAAAAAAGTATCTTCGCAAACTTTCTTGTATTCTAATGGACGTGTGTTTGAGTGGCTAAATGCTGACTCTATCAGTCGCCATTGAATCTGATTTTGTACCTAGTGATTTGGGAACAATTAATAAGGCTAGGGAATGTATGATAATCCGAGAATGTTCATTGTGTTGAAATTCAGACAGCAATTGGCAAAACTAGAAGTTGTATTTCGGTAAGAACTATACCATTATCAGACTAGAATATGCGTACAAGATAGCTCTAAAATATGGTGCAATTATTTTTTTGCACTACACTTGGCTTGTTTCGACAGTTACCTTAACTAAATGCGCTCCCCATTTTTTACAGGCCACAGTTGAAGACGAGAACCTCTGTCTGCTTAAGCTTGCAAATGTCGGTCCAGGCATTCTACTCATGAGCAATGACTGCGAGCAGATTGTACAGGCTGTCACGCATGTCAAGACCAGGTGGCAGCTGTCACAACCTGTAAGTTGACGTGCACTGAATGGCTGTTGTTGTTATTGTCCATTAACAAGTAGTCATGTTTTTGTGTTTACTCTTTTTCAGGATTCATCCACAGCCACAAGCAAAAAGATCAAACCTAAAGATGTCCCTGGGACGTTACTCAACATGGTAAGACATTAGCTTATACGCCACTGTTTTCACCTTTTGATTCCAACGCCTGGTTCACACTAGCGACATAACGACATAGTGATGACGATATAACGACATAATTGTTTCTGTCGGTAATATGAACATCAACATAAAGACATGAAGAAAAGATCACGATGTTCACACTGTAAACATAACCACATGACGTCCTTCTTATGTCGTTATGTCGTTATTTCGTTGGTGTGAACTAGGCTTAACGGGTATCTCTGGACTTCGTACCTTGAGTAAGTATCTGAAGTTTTATTTTTATTGTTTTTACTTACAGGCGCTGTTGAATCTTGGTACTTCAGATCCCAGTCTTCGCCTGGCTGCTTACAATCTTCTGTGTTCAGTGACAAAGTCGTTTAACCTGAAAATCGAGGAACGACTTTTAGAAGGAACAGGTTTGTTCTTAGTGTGGGCTTATCTGAAGGAACTAAGCTCGAGTGAGGGAGGTCTTTTTCAGGCCATTTCATTTAAATAGTGAGAAAGATCTTTTGCATTAACGTTCCTACTGAAAGGGTTTTCACTTTTGGCCTCTTGCTTAGGCGAAAGGGATAGCGCAAAAATTCTCAGAATTATATCGAGGCAATAGAGATTAAGCTGGTAAAAGAATAATACTGTAGTTTAAACAGGAATTGCGCATGAGCCTCGTATGGCAACCGCTGGTTTATACAGCGTTTTTACATGACGTCATGGCAGCCATGTTGGTGTTCCAAGACAATGAAACGGCGGCCATGTTAGTGTACCAAACAAATCCTGTGGAAGTTGAACTCTTTTCTTATGTAGACACTTTCTTTTTTTTCCAATAAATTTGCATGGGTGATGGACACGTGAGTGAAGTGTGGTTTTCCGTTGGCTGAGGAACGAAAGAAGCGGAAAACGTTTTTCTCACACACGGCTGGGAGCCACGGTCTGGGCACAGGTGTGCGAGGGGTTTCAGGTCACGTGACTTGTGTAAGGTTTCAGTTTTTGTTTTGCCATCCGCCATTGCCTGACATGCCCACCCGCCCACCCGTGAAGTACTTGTAGAATGTGTTAAGTTGAGGTGAAATTATTTTCTAACCACTTTTTTGTGTCATTGTAAGACTGTTATGTTCTTATGTTGATAAAGGTCAGGCTGTGTGGTTCGACTTGGCATGGCTCCCAGCGGCGTGTGAGGAAACGCTTTATAGCACAGAAATGTTTCACTGTAATTGACTATGATTTGCGAAAGTTGCGTTTTGCGCTATCTCTCCAGGTTTGTGCATTCCTACAAACAACACACTGTTTATTGTTGGCATCAGCGAGAAACTTGCTGCTAGAGAACCCCAGCTTACACTTGAGGTATGAGAAGAATACGTATGTTATTATTCTCAGTTAATTCATTAGTGTATAACCCTTTACAAAATCAAAGCATTTTCTTTGTTTTAATCTGATGTAAGTTTTTCTGCTTTCTTCACTTCAGTTCTTAGAGGAATGTATTGCAGGTTTTGTAAAATCAGATTATGAACTCAAGCATTTGTGTTTGGAGTACATGGCGCCTTGGCTACCAAATTTAGCAAGGTTGGTTATTGTCAGTTAGTCAATGTTTTCATCAGTTGAACAGCAAGTGTTGCATTTTGAAATGAAGCTTGGCCTTGTTATAAGCAGTACAACGTTGTTGTATCGTAACATCTCTTTTAGTTAGGTTCGCAAAAGTTTGAAAATACCTCATCGGCAGAGCTTTTCTGTGCATTCGGATTGTCAGTCACTAGATCTCATTTATGAGTTGTACAGGCAGTCCTACACACTCCTCCTCCAGTCCTCCTCACTATGGAGACCTGGAAAAGAGTGTTTGTCGCAAATTAACTTTGGTCAACGCGTCGTAAATCAAGTACGCAGAATTCTAGATAGAAAACCTCAGCATCACTTTTTCCAAATTAAACGGATTCTCTTTCTTTTAAGGTTTTGCAGGTTTCCTGCCGATGATCCACAGAAAGTGAAAATGACGCGTATTCTTGAAGAACTTATCAACCTGACTGTGAAAGAAAAAGGGGTAGGTTCCGTGCTCTGATCAAAATGCCGCCTTTCAAATGCCTTCATCATATAGATCACACTTTCCATTTCTGATATTTGTAAACTGTGGAGTTTGGCATGAGCTTAACTGCACTCTTTCAGTTTATGTTTTGATTACTCAAAACTCTTACCTTTAGTAATAAAGTTATTGTTTCCCTGTTGCAGACAATGTATCCATCAGTTCAAGCAACAATCTGGGGCAATGTGGGAAAAGTGACCGAGTTATTGGACACAGTTCTTGACTGCTTCATAAAGGTATTTTCTCACGAACGTACATCCATGTTTTTACTGTTTATAATTCTGTACACCTTGTGATGAGTTCTGTGTGGATTTGATGGCATTTCACATTTATATTATACGTTAAAATGCCGCATACGAATATTTCTGTGGCATCAGATGGATCAGAAAGACATACGTGCTGCCTTTTCCAGTAAGTCACATGTTTTGATGTTGAGTGACATCTTTTTTTACCGCATCGACTGACGTTCCCTCTCCCCAGGCTCTCGAACTGCAAGCTTAGACAGTGAAGGCAGCACGAATGAGGCCTCTGTAGAGGAGAGACTAGCTTAAGCGTCACGCTTTTATCCAGATAAACTATTCAACAATTTTTACGACAGTAGAACAAGCCAACTGTAAAATGCATTTTTATTGTTTCAGGCCAGTGCTACAGGTGGTCTTGGATCTGTAAAGGCAGAAGTTATGGCCGACACTGCCGTGGCTTTGGCGTCAGCTAACGTGCAAGTTGTCTCACGTAAGGTCATCGGAAGGCTGGACTCGGTAAGACGTTCTCCATTAATGATTGATCGATATACTTATTCTTATATCCTGTCAGCCTAACTTTACAATGGCATCTTCAAACGCAATTATACTCTGATCACCGTTTCCCTTCAATTCCTAGTTACGCTGATTTTTTTTCACTTTATTTATTTATTTATTTATTTGTTTATTTATTTATTTATTTATTTATTTTTTTTTCAACCAGCTCATCAGCAAGACCTTTATTTCTCCAACTCTTCGCCTTGAACAGCACCTCATGTGGGACGACATTGCTATCCTCACAAGATATCTTCTTATGCTTTCCTTCAACGATTGCCTCGATGGTAAGATTTCTCTAGCTGCACCTACTGGACGAGCCTGCGAATGCAGACTTATTTCCAGTTGTCGCTTGTCTCCGCCCATTTTCGGCGGAGACAAGGACAGCAGGAAATACGTCTGCGTTCACAGGCTATGAGTGGACATACACACAAATAAGATGAACCGCCAATTTCAAGACGAAACCTTGCAGCAATGGACAAATCATGCATGTGATGAACCCTTACATAATTGACAAAGCTTGTTTGACCAGCCAACTCGATAATTTCACACATACCGTTACTGTCGATGTGACAAACGAACGAGAACCGTGTGGAAACAATCAAAAATTTTGAGAAATTTTGCTTGTTTTTGAAAGCCAATTTCTCCTCCAATATTACACTCAAAGAGCCAAACGTTTCACCGATGTCCAAGTTTAAATGATTGTAGTTAATTCCTGTGTAGCGCGATGCCTTCTCTGCGCAAAGCCGTTTGTTAATGAGGAAAAATGTGAACAAATGTAGGCAAAGATTCGCTTATAGGAATCGGAGACTGAAGAACAAAGCGTGGTACCTCTATGTTTGATTTATTTCATTTGGTAGTGGTCCTGAAATTCACCCGAGGCTATCTATACAGTGATACTGCTTGTTTCTTTCCAGTTGCCAGTCACATACCGTACCTGTTTCATCTCGTCACTCTTCTCGTCTCGACTGGTCCACCAACCATCCGCGCCTCAATCCATGGACTGGTTATCAACATTATCCACTCGCTCTGTACCTGCTCTTGTATCAAGTTCAGTGGTGAGTGAGTGTTAAAGGAGCTCAGTCATGGTATTTTAAGTTAGTTTGGCCACCTATGAAATTACCTTTGACTTGAAGGAAACCTGAAAATAGTAGTTTGATAGTAGAAAATTAAGTTGTGTACATAGCTGCGATGATCAATCATGTCTTCATGGTAGTTTACTAAGATAGAAAAACATCAAAGAGATAATAACAAACCATAAAGGAACAAGGATGGCTAAGACTGGAGAAGATTAACACGGATCACAAGCGACGAACTTGAAAAATTTTCAGAATATTCGGAGGCATCATACCGACTGATTACTACAATCAAGGCCGACCGAGAACTGAAATTATTTGCAAATAAACGAATAGCATCGAGTGTTAAAGCATTAAAACTGGTCACAAATTTATTATTTCTGTGGTGCGCAATTTGCTTAGATCAATTATATGTGACGATTGTGATGTTGTTGGGTGGCCATGGTTGAAGTAGTCCCACTGTAACAGTTTACTCCTGGGAAATTTAAGTTTACTCTAACGCTGCCGGGTGTTTCCCTAACCCAGGAGTACTCCCTTATATGGGCTCCATAGGTATGGTTTTTCAGCCGTTTTGGTCATAAATACGGTATCGAGCCAGCCGCAACGGTCATAAATAGGATATCAAATTTTTGGTCAGGTCATAAATAGGATAGGGAAACTCGCAGATTTTGGTCATAAATAGGGCAAGGGTTTTGGGAAGCGGACCGCACACCCCACCCAATTTTTCTGGGAGTACCCTCCGGGTGTCTCGTATCTGCACGCCTGACTTTTTGCTGATGACTCGAAGAGAAAACTAAGATATCTTATGTAAAGCCCGAATATCCTTAAATATGGCTTTTTAATCTCGTATGCGTACACTTCTCTGTTTTAAGTTGAGTTTCTTTTTCCATCTTGGTAGATGAAACTCATAAACTTCTTCGTATGCGGCTGGCGGAACTCTCGTCGCCCAAGTTTTATCTTCTCTTTGGTAAGTGTAACAAGTAGAACATTGTTTGTTATAAGCTAGAATTATTAACTTTTGCTTGCATTTTGGTATATTTTTGATTTGAAAGCTCCATAAATGAGATACAAATGGATGCTAGTTGCTTGCGCTACTTTTGCATTTTGTGACGCCCTCGGTCACGCCGCGTTATCAGTCGCGCTGCGTCACAGCATTCAAGGCGGTACTGTCGCGCATTGCGTCATGCTACTTTAGATGATTCTGTCACGTTTGATAAATTAACAAACAGTTATAATCGTCAATTTGAAGGCATCTCCAAGGTAAAAACGCCAGCTGTTAAGGCTTTCAAAGCGACCTACCAAGGAAGGTACACACTGAGGGACTGTGAAGGAGAGCCACTGAGCATGACAGCAATGGAAACAATCACTGACTTACTGCTGGAAATAATGGAGGTAACGCAACACTAGCCAAAAGGAACTTGACCACGTGACTATCTGTAACAAGTCTGTCCTAGCTTAAGATAAGGGCCGGTTAACTGACTTTCCTTCGAATTTTATTTTGCCGAACAGAGTTGCATGAAGGACTTGCCAGAATGCACATGGCTCAAAAAGTGGACAGAATTAGCGTCAAAGTAAGTGTGCTTTTTCCCGAAATACAGTTCTCCTGATATAAAACTTGTGTGACTTCTTTCAGGCATTTAGATACCTCTCACGTGCTCAGTAACTTGCATTGAACGCGCTAGGACTTTTTTCCTATTTTAAGATGATTGCGGGTGAAATAGTTGTCTGGTAAAACACGTCTCTCGTTATTTCACAGATGTAGCTATTTTTCCGTGAGATCGTACGCGTCCTTTCGTGAAACGTCTGGGAGGTATGCTCCCGCTAGATTTCTTTGGGGACAAAAAGAACTACCAATTTGCGGTATAATTTTCACAAGGAGGGTTTTGCACCAGTGTTCATTTTAAAGCTTACGAAAAAGGCAATTCTTACCGCCTTGTGATTTCAAAAAAAGAAAAATCTTCTTTGGCAGCGGTGGGATTCGAACCCACGCCATCGAAATGACTGGTGCCTTAAACCGGCGCCTTAGACCACTCGGCCACGCTACCATTTGATGTTTGTTTTATTTATGGTTTTGGTACTTAATTTGTTCACATCATCCGTGGCCTTATTATCGTATTTCCACTTTTCTGCAGTTTTGCTTTTGAGTTCAACCCTGCACTCCAGCCTCGCTCCATAGTAGTTCTTGGCTGTATCTGCAAAGAAGCGGACGATAGACTGGTACAGAAAGTCTTAAACGTGTTGATTATGGTAAGGGGTCTTTCCAGGTCACTTAAGTTTTATGTTGTGATATAGAAATTAAGAAGAAGAGAAAGTCATTTTTGTGATGTACAAAATTAGCTCTATTTCGAAAGGAACCTCGAAGCAAGGGTTAATGTAGGTAGAAAGACACTTGAGAAAGGAGATTAAACCCAAAAGGAAAAAAATTCTGTAAAAGTGCAGAATTTCGTTTTGCAGTTCATTTCATTTACAGACGTGTGACTGGTTTCTTTTTGACAGGCTCTTAGCTCGTACAATGACCTTGTTTTGGTGGAAGCTGCGTTCATGTGCCTGTCAAGACTTCAGGTGATTCTCAACAAGGTTAGGCGCAATTTTTTTATTTCACTTTTATGCTGAAACAAGACTTACCGTCCGTTCATTCGTGCGAGGTCAGTTAGTCAGTCAGTCAGTCAAAAGGTCGGTCGGTAAATCGGTCGGTAAAACGGTCTATCTATCGGTCTGTCTGTCTGTTAGATAGCCAATCCAGTCAATTAATTTGGTAAGTCATTCATAACCAGACAGATAGTACATGGGTCAGGTTGTTAGACGATGTATCTACCTGTCTGTCTGTCTGTCCGTCTTTCTGTCTGTCTGTCTGTCTGTCGATCCCAGCTCCTGATTACCTCAGGTCAACATAATTTTTTGTGTGTGCGTCTGTAAAACTTAACATGATTAAGTCTGCTTTACTTGTATTAGGATTCCAAGTTTCACAAGGCATTTTTCTGGATTGCTGTTGCAGTGCTTCAGGTAAAGTGAAAGTACTATACACTGTAAAGACGAACGAACGCAGTTGGAATTTAAACGTTAATGAAGTGTGTGTTTTGTTTAGTTGTCAGAGGTCTCTCTTTATCCTTGTGGCCTGGCGCTGGTGGAGCAGAGCCTCATAACACTTGAAACACATGGCGCCTTCGAATCTGAGGTTGGTTTGAGATTTTGATAACGTTTGGTTTAAATGCTGGAGTTTAAAGTGAATCGACGACTCAAAAAAAAACATATTTTATACAAAATGAAAAAAAAAAAGGAAACAAAACTATACTGGCAGCGGTGGGATTCGAACCCACGCCATCGAAATGACTGGTGCCTAAAACCAGCGCCTTAGACCACTCGGCCACGCTACCACTCGCTCTAAACAATAGTGCGTATAACATGAATTTGAACCTGTCTGCAACGCTGAATTTACTAAATTTTGTGGAGAGGTGGTTTCAGTGTCGCTATATAATGTATGGATCGGCGAAAGCCCAGCAGCTGTATGGACGTGTGGCCGTGGCTGGCGGTTGGACTGTATTTTATGACGTAACAGTTGTAAGTGAGATAGTAGAGCTAGTTCCGGTCTCTGAGATAAGCTCTTTCAATTGTTTTCTTTCTCTCCCAGCCAGTGGACAAAGTTCTCATGGCAGTTCGTGAAGAACCTCTGCTAGAGTTTCACTGTAAACAAATGGATCATTTTGTCGGTCTTCAATTTTCGCAGAACTTCCACTTTGCGTTGATGGTGCATCTAGTCAAAGGTATGGGCTTACCTACTTAGAGCTCAGTTTGGTCTCGTGTACTGGCATAGCTCTAGAGTAGGTTAAAAAAACTCATGTAAGCTGTTCTAAGCGATCAGCGTGAGTGCCTTTTTAGCCAATCAGGTGCAAGAGCAAGGCCCATCGCGCAGTTGACCTCTTTAGCTTGGGCGCTTTGTTTTTCCATTGTAGACCACGTGATATTCTCTAGAGAATTTTTCTTTTATTCCTCCTAAAATTATTCATTGATATATATGCGACTATTTAAAAATTTGAAAGCAAGAATTCTCAAGAATATCAACACGTGGTCTGCTATAGGAAAACAAACCGCCCAAGCTAAAGAGGTCTATTTGAGTGACGTAAATTTTCGCGCGCTTGTTGGTGGCTACACGTTGTGTGTGGTTCGACTTCTGATTGGTTGATCACAGTATTGCCCCTGTGATTGGCTGTGATTGTTCCTTTGTTCTCTCCCATTCCATAACACTAAGATAGTTGATTCGGACTACGGCCTCATCAGCTATCACCTCATAGAAATCTCGAGCACATAATCTAATTGTTAACTTACTAGATTGGGAAAAACGTGTTTAGTACATGTGCGATTTTCGTTCTAGGAGTATATCATTCCCAGGCCACCTCGTCCGCACGAGCCATTCGTATCCTGAACTTGATGCATAACATCACAAGCAAGCGTAAGACAGGGTAAATATGGTCTTAGAATAGCTGGACTTGTACCGTACTGGAGATAACGCTGCTAATATACTAAAGAGATCTTCGTTCAAAGCTTTTAAGTAACTTCTCTCACGTGCTGTAATACGATGGCTTCAAAGCTTTGAGAAGAAAATGTAGGTTTCAGGAATACGAGACGAACTTATTCACTCCTATACGGGTTCTTTTCGGCTAAAACCCCATTATTTGGGGGGTTTTATGTGATCTTGATAGTTTATTCAGCTATGTCCGTTAAATTAGTTTTAGTCTCTACTGGCATTAGCAACGCTTCTGTTACGATGCAAACCTGCGGTGACGTTTCAACCCGTTGTTTAACTCTAAGTTGTGTTATTTGTTCTTGATCGATCAAGCAATCATGGTGCATTCACTTCAAGGTTTAATAAACAGGGTCTGAAGTGGGGATGGGGTCCTGATCCCGCATTCCCGCTCCTTTATCACGAGAATCCCGCATCCCGCACTTTTTTCATCGCAAAAATACATAAAAAAAAGTCTAATTTCTAGAGTAAAAGCGAGAGATTTTCATCTTCATTACAGCCGTGGTTCCTTTGTGGTCAACCAAGACAACCTTGCATACTTGGCTGGTAAGTGAAAAGCTTAGATTTTGACGATTGTACTTCTCCGTTTACTCCTTAGTTTTTGTTTCGATTGAGAAGATATATCAAACACTCGATGAAATGAACTTTTTTCATCGGCTATCCAAACACCTCGAATTTCGTCAAAAATACTCCCTGCGCGTCTTATTTTCTACTCTCTTCTCGGTGTTTGGACATCCCGATGAAACGCTGTCTTTCGTATTTGATATATTACCTCAAAGCTCGTCAAAAATACCACCGCTACACGTCGTATATTCTTCTCGGTGTTTGGATATCTTAAACGTGACCCTGTTAATTTCAGCGTTATTGCCTGTGTGTGAGGAGGTCCGCTCCAATCTACGCCCAGGCGACAAAAAGGAACCTGACAGCCCAACCCTACCCTACCCAGAAAGACTGGACAGCACCATCGCCGGAAGTTCAACCTCGTTGAATACGGAGCACCAAGTGTCCATCGTAATTACCACTGATGACAACCCTGGTGACCAGGCCTTTGCGTGGCCCTCGGAATGTCAGAACATGTTGTTGGACCCAGGGATAGTGAACGATACTCAGACCCAGGCCCTGCTATTGACGACACTGGTAAGGGAAATGTTGAGATGGTTTCGACTTCTTTTTTCGACGGATTTTTCTGCTGTCCTCCTGAAATCCAGCCGTAAATAGAGACACTTCTTTCTAGCGATGTCAAAAATATGTCAAATCTAAAGTTACTTGGTACTTTTTAATGAAAGAAACAACGGTAACGAGTATGGAATAGTTAACAAATTGAGAAGTCAAAGCCAGTTATTAGACTGTCATTAAAACGAAGGGACGGGAATTTGACACGAGAGAAATTGAAAAAACACCAACTGTAGGCGAGTACGATTTTTCGTTCGTTCGTTCATTTTTACATTAATTTATTTCTTTTATTTCTCAAGTATTATTTAGTAACGGCGTCTTCTATGGTGGTTTTGATTCCTGATTATTCTCCTTTTATATGCTTTATGATAATTTTATAGATGAATTTCGAATGACTTATCTGCTTTATACTTAGATAAAACAGTTTATTCTCCAGTAAGAGGCAGCGCCCGTGGAATCCAATCAATTGTATAAAACTTAATGCAATCAGGATGATAAAACGATGTTATTTTGACAGGCAATCTTATTGGAGCACATCACTGGGGATGTGGAGTCGCGGTATTTGTACGAAGTTCTCGCTGAAGCCAGCTTGGTGTTCCCAGGGGTGTTCCCTGTTATGTGAGTTGTTAATTTTCTACCCTCGTCTTCACATCTGTTGCTTGTTAAGTTATCGCTTTTGCTACAGGAAGTCTCTTCGTTATTGGTCAACTATATGCCATTCAAATATGCCTCCAAGGTTTTTGGTAAAATACAACTGAAAACTGTTCTGTGCTTACAAGTTGTTTATCTAGGTTTAAGGTCTCATCCGCCACTTTAGAAATGACAAAAAAACGCAGTGGCTCGTGGGATCATCACTGAGGACAAAACAAAAGACGAGCAGCTATACTGTCCCCAGTAACGATCCCACAAGACACTGTGAGACGAGACTCGCCCCAGATTTCTTCTCGTTTCTATAGGGCGAATTAAAGGAGCTACGTCACAGTTTTCGTATCTTAAAAGGTTTAGCTTAAATGTTTCAAGTTCGTCGTTTGTTATCCGTGTTAATCTTTTGCATCCTTAACCATCCTTGTTCATTTATGGTTCATTATAATTTTTTAGTGTTTTTCTATCTTAGTAAACTATTATTTTCAGGTTTTCTTCAATTTTAAGGTAATTTTGTACATGGCTAAAATACCTCAAAATACCGTGACTGAGCTCCTTTAAGTATAAAGAGCATCGCATACAATTCGCCTTTGTTTCAGGTGTTTCATATCAAACTTAGTTAATTATTTAATATACTTACTCAAGTGAAGCCTGAAAATTTTCCCTTTCATGGATATACTTTGTCAGTCAGTTACCATCAGCTTTCTCGAATCCCTCCCACTTCTCGAACTTTTTTTGTTTCCCTGAGATTTCGACCTAGCGGGGCTTAACAGTAAATAAACTTGTAAGCTCCAGTTTGAATTGTCACGCAACTCTTGATAGAATCGTTGCGTGACGATTCTTGTAACGACTACCAAGGACTAAATCTTCTAACCAAGTGTTTTGATTGTCTTCATGCAGTTATAATCTGTTGGACTCTGATCTGTCCATTGTGCTCGGTCATTCGGATGATGTGGCCACATTGAAAGCTATACAGACCATAGTGCACTCCATGAGTGCTGTCAAACAAACTAAAGATCCTGTGCTCAAGTCCAGTTATCTCTCAAGTGAGTAAAACGAACAGCTTTCTTGTGTAGTTCGTCCAATACTGTAGTTAACGTGATGTATATGAGTAAAATGAGTGGTGAATTGAGGTCAGAGTATGAATTAAAGAATTAATGAGAATTGCAATGGCCCTTGGTAGCGTGGCCGAGTGGTTAGGACGCTGGACTTGAAATCCGAAGTTCGCGGTTTCAAGTCCCGCTCTGTCCACTAAGCTGGATTTGTTCTCGACAGAACCGAGTTCAACTCCTCGGTCGTGCTTGTAAATATCCAACTGGTGTGCCTCCTGCCAGTTGGGCTTCTTAAACCTATTATGTTTATTTGAAATATTTCTTTCTTTCACTTTCATGGTATGCCTGAGAACTAGCTAGAAAAGACAATTGATTGCTTTACTTGCTTTCGTTTTCAGCGTTCGGATTTTCTGGATTCAGTCATTTTACAAAGTTCAAGGTAATATTTGACTAGTGATTTCCTTAATTTTCTTGCTCGTTTGTCTTGAAATGTTCTCAGTATTCTCCTCCAATCTGAATTTCCTGGAACATTAGTTTCTCTTCCTTCAAATTGCTCTTCTGTTGTCAACGAGTCAGCCAAAGTGAAGAGAGTGCAATGAAGCTCTTGCTTAACCAAGTAGTCAAATGTTTCCTCTTTAAAACATGGACGAATCATTGTGTTTAACTGTTGTAAATCAACAAGAGTAATTGGTGATAGGTGTTGAGCCTGTGAACAGGCTCTCTAGTCCAGGATGGGGCGAGGGGGAAACGGGACGAAACCCCTCGGCCACTTCACTATTAGCCAATTTCTTCTCAGCCCTTCCAGCCGTGAACAGACCCTCCCAACCGGAGCCTGTTCACAGGCTACAAGAGTAACTAGTAAAATCTTTCTGAAGTGTCAAATGATTTGTTCCTGGACACAACCAAACATGCAATTTCTTCTTTGTTTCTTCAGGAACAAAGAGGTCACGCCAACCGAGCGCAACTTTTTGTGAAGTTCTTGGAAGCAATTGTGGAAGTGTACGGTGTACCCATGACGGAGCAAAAAACTCAACGCTCAGGGTCCGTCGCTTCCATCAAACCACTGGCTCACAGCTCGAGTACCGAGGACGTAAGAGTGGGGTCGTCATCTACTTCGCTGTCTTCTTCCCTTACTTCTTTAGCTGGCGCGGTTGCTGGAAAGAACCTTTTCATTCCACTGCCGTTTAAGCGCGCGAGCTCGTCTTACCGGCCAAAAAAGAGCGAGAAAGAATCGTCGCCAAAATTCCGACGGAACTGGTCAGCGAGAGGGACAAGGAGTACCTCGGCTGGAAAAATTGTGAAGCCGTAGCCGGGGAATGATGAAAGCCTCATTTCTCCCAAGGGTATCACCATCAAGTCAAGATATCGGGGCGCAAGGATGAACTGAATGACCACCGTGAAGAGTTTGTCTCGATACATTCCAAGTTCTCACTACTGGTATTATGTGTAACATGCGGAGGCAAGTTGGGAGACGTTATATATTGATGTCAGGGCTTTAAGGATGAAGGACCTTAAAGCGAAGAGCATGTAAAGAGGAGAACTCAAACGAACAGGAGTATTGGCCCAGGTCGACCATCGGTTATGACGTCTACAGACTTCTTAATATCCCCCGAACCTGGGCTTGAATGATTACTACAATATCTAGGACGTGTATAAGATTAAATCCAGACCCAAGGTGAAATTATACGTGCACGCCGACCACTGAACGCCGAGAATTAAACTCGATTGAAGCAGATCAGAAAATAAGGATCTAAAACACGATCATCCTAATTCTTTGCGCGTCGGATTTTCCAGTGTTGTCCCAACAATTCTGATTAGGTTAAGGGCCCCTACATGCACACCCTGCATGAGTGATGTTTTACGGAACATAAATAATTCACTTTTTTATTGACTCCGACGTGCTTTTGGGTTGTGCACAATCACCACTCGAGCTCGACATATCTTAACTATATTATTCAATGAGCTACACGTCACACCCATCTACTTCGCAGTGCTTCACAGACCTTGTTTCTTGCAGACCCTCGTTCGATTGCTCAAATTATACTGCACGACTTTCGTGTCAAGAAAGGTTAATTCTAGCACTCCATCAAGTTTGCTGCAGTTTAAACACTGTTTTTAGCCTGGCTCGAAAACTAACAGAGGACACACCTCAGTAAGAGAGCTTTGCACTTCTTATGAAAGGGTCAATATATCCTCACCATAATGTTGAATTGTCCATATATGGATATCGCAGATTTTTGTATAATAATCGCCGGTGTAAATAGGAATTTTCGTCATTAAATTAGAATTACCAACCCGAGGTGGGCGTGGGTTTGGGACAGAGAATAATGATATGAGAATAGAACTAATTTAGAATTTTAATTTTTTAATGAAAGTTGTAAATAATGAAAGTGGTATTGTATAAGATATATTTTACATTTTATAAGCAGATTCGTTTATTGGTCACGAGTCCTTCAGGCGAGGAAAAGATAAATGTACCCCAAACGCGTCTAATTTCAAGCGAAAAAATGACCAGAGTTTCCTCTGTTTACGGTCAACATCTTCAGAATGACGTTTACGGCAATCAGCAAGACATAACTTGCCTCCGATTTAGATGTAATACATCAAACACGAAAGGCCGTGTCTGACCACATTTCCGAACAACGAGAAGAGAGTTGAGAATCCAACGCGCAGCGGAGTACTTTTGACGAACTTCGAGGTGTTTGGAAATGTGGTCAAACACTGTCTAGAGTGTTTGATATATCTTCTCAATCGAAACTAAAACTAAGGAGAAAACGGAGAAATAAAATCGTAAAAATCTATGCTAATTAAGTTCAGGTATCCAAACACCGTCACGGTCATGATTTCCTTTGTTTAAACTTGATGAATTATTACTGAGTTTGAGAATTCCCTCTAATCAATACGAGAAGTAGTTATTATTGCAAGACAATCCAACGCAGAACGTCCATGCAAAACGCCTCTTCATGACAAATACAAACATTGCTACTTTTTACTTTAGTATACAAAGGGCTTGAACCAGACGGAAATCTAACCTATCCTACGACTTGCTTGATTTTTTAGCTCCATTTGATTTAAATCTTTCTTTCTTCAGTAATGATACACGCTGCCATATCTTGCATAAGTTATCAATCTTTAAGGTAAATAAACTAACTTGATTATTGCACACACACGCCAGAACAGTTTGCATGATGTAGTCCAAAAAACCACCTGGCGCTGAACTGTCATGGCTGAGCCGAGTGTGGTAAAACTCACTTGGGGCGAGGCACTGCATGTTGCACAACATAGGGATAAATGGAGGGGGATAGTTGTTGCCTAATGTCCCGCAGGGGACGAAGAGGATTAAGGGAGCGAGTAAGTAAGGATATATTACCGTAAAATTCCGGTAATAACCGCACACTCCTCTTGGAAAATATACCCAACCGCATAGCCAAAATAGCGTCCAAAGTAAAGCCCTCCCTAGGGGGGCAGCGTACATTTTTCGTGGAGTACGCACCGAAGAGAAATTTCTATTTTTACTGGCTCGCAAATGCCATTTCCCTCGTTTTCCAGGGAACAGGAGTTTCATAACTCACAACATGAAAAAGCGTTGAACATTTGGTAACTTGCGTTGGTTATATTTCAGCCTTTGAGATAATTGTTAGCAGGTTTAATATGAGAGACTAGACTGTCAACCGACCGACTTAACTTATTAAAGACAATCTTTGCAAGCAAATTTATAAAAGTTATTTTTTCGAGATTTCCGGAGGTGCGCACGTGCGTATATGGTCACTGCGCTCCTGCCGCTAAGTATAAGCCCATGGGCTTTGAGAACTGTCTTCAAATTGAGTGTCGTGAAACCTAAACCGAAGAAATCACTCTAGCCAATCACAAAGGACACATGCAAAACAATGAACCACTCCAATACACGTAGCTGACGCAAGGCGCAGGAAAACTATGCGTCACGATTGGATGAAAAGATGACACGGGTGTAGCACCAATCATTTTCCGACACAAGTGAAAACGTCACTACTGAACAACTAGATGATCTGCTCTTGATCACTGAGGTGATAGGTGATGGGGCCAAGGTAAAGTAATTGTTTAAGTAGAATTCTTAATAAATTTCCTTATTTCTCCGCAATGTAAGCAGTATTCATGTTTTAGCGAAATTTTAGCTAAATTGCAATTTGAAACATGCAGCTGTGTACACGATCATCAAGTCATTCAAGAATTTTAAAATTTTATAATCGCAGAACAGTGAATGTCCTTTTTGTAGTCTCCGCGGAATTAAATTACCAAATGATATCTCTGAATCTTCTTCCGAATCTTTAGACAAACAAAAAACGTCATTTTGTAGACAGGCTCAAGGCACATGTATAGTCTACGATGGCTCAGCCAATCAGATTGTGGCAATTGCATTAGTATACAAGTAGAATTCTTCTACTTAGAGAACCAAATTTCTTCCGGTGACTAAGTGCCCTTCTGTCGGCGACTAAATGTCCACGCCCAACAGAAAAGCCTAAAACATTGTTAGAACCGTTTCGACATCTGAATTTATAAATAAACAGTACCTTAAGATGAGGTATTTTATTTCAGGAAGTTTGTGAAAAAATTTTGCTGGCCGTCCAAAACTCGGGAGCAGTACTCAGGACCTCGCGCAGTACCCAAGGTACATGAAACCCACACAAGTCTCGCTTCCATGATTTTGCGCCGAAGAATTGATTGAAAGACATCATTTGAATACAACTAGAAACAAGAAAAAGAGACTTTATAAAATGCTGTAATCTTTTTTTTTCCTACAAAAATACTTACATCTGTCATTCCATTAAAAAGATTGCATGCGAGGAAGAGTTAAAGAGAAAAAAAATGCCAGTATTGAAAGCAAGGCTACTCGCCTTATTTTGCGCGCGCGCACTTGCAGTTTATCAGGACACGTCAATCGCTAATAACATTGGCGTCACAATCAAGACAGCATAGAGAATTTTTTTCGTTGAGAGAAGATTCGCTTAATCATGGGGAGCTGTAATTCGGTGATTTGTTCAGTTAGTAGAGTCGAGAAAGTCGGGAAATTTGACAAAGTCAAGAGAAAAGATGGAAGCGGAGAAAGTGGGGGGACACCCAAGGTTGAAATCCACATGAACTGTCCTTCAAACGCAGATTCTTGGGAATCTGAGTTAATAGCTCTGACAGAAGACACTGAGAGTGCCTCGGTGGTATCTTCCAGCGCTGAAGTTCTTGGCTTCGAGGCCGACGATGAGATGTCCTCAGATACATCGTCATTTCTGTCAGAAGAAGAAGAGAGTGAGAACGGTACAGATGAAGCGAGAAACTGCGCGGAGAGCGAGCCTGGTCCATCCGGACTCAATGGCAAGCCCAACATTTCACTGCCGCCACCGCGCTCTTCGAAATGGAAACAGGTGTGTTCCAAGAAACTCGAGCAAAAGGAACAGCTTGCCGAGGAAAAGCTGAAGAAAAAACCACGGCGCCGTCCGAGGACGAAACACATCTACAGCCAAGAGGAGGAGGCGCGCGCAAATAAAATACGAATCATAAAAAAGATTAAAAATGCAATCAAGAAGGCAGCGGCACGGGACCCAGACAGCGGACACGCGGCTCTGCCAACCGACGAAACCATTGCGCAAATTTTTGGCGTGGCAGTTGAAGACTGCCGTGACAGCAGCTCGGATAATTGCTCTAGTAGCTTGAGCTCTGCGAGCACAAACCCTTCTACCGAGACCTCGTGGAACAGTCCCATCAATTCAGATGAAGATCTTGAACAACAAAGAACTGGCCGTGACTTCAGAGAGGTTCAAAAGGCCTCCGCGAGCGTAACGAACAAGCCTAGGAAGAGCGTGAAAACGAGATCGCGCGTCGTTGCGTTGTGGGAGAGTTTCTCCAAGTCGAACCAAGGTTTTCAGAAAGCAAGTTCTGGCCGTCCCTGTAATCGGGTCAATTCGACTTCAGAAAAGGCCAAAAATGAGAGAAAGGGCGCAAATACAACACCTTCTGCCAACTCATGGGACAGTTCCACAACATTGGACGAAGAATTCAAGGAACCAAATGTTGGAAGACCCCACAGAGAGATCAAATCAACTACGGAAAGTGAGGGAAATGGGCAGGCAAGCGCTACAACTAGTTCTCCCTCCACCAACTCATGGGACCGTTCGACAACCTTGGACGAAGAATTCGAGGAACCAAAGGTTACTTGTTCCTGGCCCTTCAGGGTACTTAAATCCCCTGAAGAAGAGTTTGAGCAACCAAAAGTTGCTTGTTCCTGGCCCTTCGCTGAGTTTAAATCAATCTGGGATAGCGAGAAAAACGGGAAGTTGGGCGCGACAGCTGGCGCTTCTTTCACCAATTCACGGGATAGTCACCACAGTGAAGAAGAACCATGGCACAGTTCCACAACCTTGGATGAAGACTTCCAGAAACCCAGCACGCCGAAAAGTGAGAAGAACGTGCAATGTGGTGCGAGAGCAAGGTCATGCTCTGCTTCATCCTGGAACACTTCAACAAACTCACTTGAAGATGTTGATCAACTAACAATGGAGAGTGAAGACAACGGACAGAAGAAGGCGAGGAAGGCTCGCAAATGGTTTCGATTTAAAACCAACAAGGTTGCTCCTCTCCAATGAGGAGATGACATTATATACCATAAAATTTATGATAATAAGCCTCACACCCTAATTCTACGATTATCAGTTGAGTAAGGCGCGACGAAAATTTGATGACCAAGTTTCAACGTTCAACTCACGTTGTTGTCACGGGCAACTGGCTCTATTTCTAGTGACAACTTGTCAGCCTTTGACATCATTGGCAGCAAGGCGTGCATAATTGCAGGACACGGTATTGTTACAACACTGTAAACTGTCCAAACCTTCGTAACCGAAGTTCTGTTGTGCCTTGCTCAACTGATAATCGTGGTATAATCTCCCCAATAAACCTCCCTCTCTTGTCCCCTTCCCCAGTAACAAGCTTGCCATCAACCCAAGGCTTATTATCAGAATTTTATGGTGTACCCTCAATCGAACCGGCAAAACAAAAAAGGAAGAAATTAAAAAACTGCAAAGAGCAAGTAGTTGACCAAGTGACAAGTGATCTGGGAACAAATGAACTGACTGAGATGGACCCAAGAGGTGAAAGGAACTGGCTTGTATGTGAGCCTTGTGTTTTGCATGCAGCACATTTGACTCCACTTCAAAAATATGCCCCATCCTAAGCTGCTTGCCTCAGGGATACAAGATTATGAAGACTACAAAGTCTTAAGTTGCAAATTTTGGCCCTGATGCAAACAGCTCATGTTAAATAACTTGAAAAAACAAAACAAAAAAAAAACACACACGACAAGCAAAAAACAAAAAAATATGGTGTTAAACTTAAGTTAAAATGGTAACTAACTGGAATTTTAAAGAAATCACTCCTAGAGAATCAGTCTTGAAAGAAAACAATCATACATTTACTTTGCAGAATTTGTATTTCCTTGCAAACACTCAGACTTGTGGATGTTACAACATCTATTCAATAAAACATCTAAGTTGAACATTTCTTTTCTGGAAGCCACTTGAGAGAAATAATTACAATAAAACACTCAATAACAATAATGTCACACACAACTTTGCATGGGGACAAGTGTTGTGTGACACCCCTAATAATACTAGCTCTACAAGGACTACTGAACAACATGACTAAATGCTGCTAAAAACCGTTCTGTGCCCTGAGCACCTGACAAAGACACAGCCTTCTTTTGTTTATCGTCACTAGATATAACAAAATATGGCACACCAGATATCTTCATGTGAGATTTTGCACGAGAATCTTCAGATAAAACCAAATCCACATCATGAGATGACTTGAGATAATTCTTGCCACCTTCCAAGCCCAGTTCCTTCGCAGCTTCAATTAAAGTGTCTACATCACTGACATTTTTGCCATCTTCATAAATCATATGAAACAAAAGGTCCTTAGCTTTTGCTTGTCCTTCAGGGCCTTTCTGAATCCCAGCTAGATGAATGAGTCGGTGGCCATGTAAAGAGTTAGGCCATGTCTTCCAGTTCTTGAATTCCAATCCATCTTGTTGTCCTGCCTGTCTTAGTGATCTTGTCCAGCCATCACCTCCCCACCTTAAAAAGCAATCAGTCAGTCAGTCAGTCAAGCAAGCAAGCAATCAATCAGCCAAGGAATCAGCCAATCAAGCAATCAATTAATCAATCAATCAATCAATCAATCAATCAATCAATGAGTCAGTCAATCAATCAATAATATTATTCAAGCCAGCAAGCAAGCAGCCTATCAGACAATTCATCATTGGCCCATCACATATGCAAGCAGTCAATCAATCAATCAATCAATCAATCAGTCAATCAATCAATCAATCAATCAGTTGATCAATCAATCAGTTGATCAATCAATCAATTCATAAATGGATCAAATAAGCAAATTATTGCCTACTTGCCTATCTTTTAATCTTCCTATATCTGAGATGCCAAGTAAGCTAAATCTGGGAGATCACTAATTTTACATGTACCTTATCAACCACCATCAAGTCATGTTAAAACTAGGGTCCACCAATTCTACCATTAAAATGATTCAAAATAAGAGTAAAAAATGTAGTTTAAGCACTTAACTTCATATAGTAGGAGATTTGGTGGCGTGTATGGGAGGCTGGGAGATTTGGGCTGTATCCAAGAGACTCCTGTATAGTCTAGGAGAGTTGGCAGAAATGTAGGTAGGTTAAGTATACCAGCCAAGTGGTCCATCAGGCTGGAGGTTTTCCTGCTTTCCGTAGCATGAAGCGACTAGGAGTATTTCTACTCCTCCCTGGATGGGATGCTAGTCTATCACAGGGTTACCCCCAGCAATTAATTCATAGGTAACATTTGTACACCTGGGTGGAGAGAGGCACTGTAAGAAAAGTGTCTTGCCCAAGAACACAACACAATGACCCTGGCCAGGGCTCAAATCCGGACCGCTTGATCCGAAGACTAGGGCACTAACCATGAGGCCACCGTGTCTCCACAAGATGGCGGAGATGTACCTTGCTGTAATTCTACATCTATCAGACTCTATCAGATCTGTCTTTCTAACTGCCTGACCACCAGTCTGTCGGTTAGTAGATATCCTGATTTTACCTCCTTGTGTTGTATGCCATATAATCTTCACCCAGTGGAGCGGTATTTTTGTCAATGATGTATGGATGCCAATTGACAGTGATGCTGGCATCTGTGAACTTCTGAATGGCTTTGTCAAGACGTGCCTTTCCAACATAGCACCACGGACAGGACAGGTCAGAGTAGACATCGATGTTGATCATCTGCGTGAAGAATTAGACTATAATTTAGATCACAAGATGGACCTATACAACAACATAAACACAGCTGATCTCAGTTTATTTTACCTTGGAGGGGCAGAGAGTGGAGAGTGAGGGACTCGCAAATGGCACAAATTTTAATGGGATATGCTTACAGTGCCTTTTAAGTTTTGGTACCTTCTTATAGGGATTCCTGTGGGGGGCCTTTATAGTGGGTCCATATCAACTGCATATTCATATGGTACAACGTTTCCAATGCATGGTTGTTGCAAGTAAAAATGAACTAGCTCTCGAGAAATGAAAGACCGAGAACCAAGTGTCGTCGGCCCAGTCGACGACCTAGTAAAATTACTTCTCCCCATGCATAGAAGATCAGAATCTTATTCGGTTAACACTGCACTCTGATCGACGCGGTAGTTTCCCTAGCTACTTACCACGTCAGTTTCTAAAGCGTCTTTCAGTGTACGGGGAAAAACTATCGAAAGTTACAGCTCAGACGTAGCCATCCGAGTCCTCTGCATTCTCTTCCCTTTCGTTTACTACTTGTCCCCAGGCTAGCGCGGATTATTGTTCGTTGCTCCCCGACTGATACCGAACTTTACCGAGTTGACTCGAAGACTAACCGAACGTGTTTGCAAAAACATTTCCTTCAATATTTTTCGAGCTCATGCAGAGTTTTATTTTGCAGCAATTTGCAAACCAAAGAGTAACATTGTCAATGTTAAGTGACCAACTAGCCCATCATCCTCGAGTGTCAACCTCTCTGCTTTGTTTATTTTGTGGTTCATCACTTTGTTGTTGTGACAAGTGGTCGACAACATGAGCACCCAAAATATTTGGACCGTCAACTCCAGTACCCTGGTTCGAAAGCCAGTGAAGAAACAGCCAGCGGACAGAAGAATTTACTTAGATAAGCGGCCAACAACGCTGTTATACTCGACCTAACGTAGTACCTGGGCGCTAAAGATATCTACGATTGCTTTGTCTTCGTTAAGGTAAGCTTAAGTCGAGGGAAGTTTTTGTTGTTCGTGAAGGCAGGATTAATGTCTACCTTAGGAACATCCCGTTTACGTCCCGTGTGTTTTCTTCTGGCTTTAATTATTGATATTGTCAGTCCGTTGTACTTTGGAATTTGTCACTGCCGGCTGATTTGCTAAACGCGGTATATTTTGCGTTAAAACGGCAGTATTTTACGTTTTACAAGCAAAGTGTTTCGATATCTGCTGTTCGACCGAACTCATTTGCAAATTAGCTCAAATTGCAAAATAAGAGCTCAATGCCCCATGACATATTAAAAATTCATGACTTGAGCTTATAAAACTGCATGCCTCTCTGAATGAATGAAAACATCCGAGTTCTACGGGTCTGTTGGTTGGTTTGTTTACTTTCTGTACAAATTTTTGCGAGATCGAGGTTGATAAAAGGAAAGTGATTAAACCAACCTCTTTTTAATTTGCAATTGATGCGGGGTCGCGTGTAAAGTCTTCTGATAAAAACTTAAGTTAAGTGAGTCAATGGTTAATTTACTTTCACCAGCTTGCAAAAACATAAAGTAAATTCAAAGAGTTGTTATTTAACTTCTCAAAAATGTACGTTTCAGCACTTGCGTGCTTCATTAATTTAAATTTAAATCAATATTATAAGAGGAAATGAGGGGATTCCACGTCGCTTCCTTTGTGTTCAGTTCCATTGTTCAGAGGCTAAATATATCAAATGTTCGTGTTTCTTTGTTTCTCCATGCAACTGGACTTGTACTTCACATTTAAAGGGTGTTTTCAAATTTAAAGTCACGAAAAATCTGAAAATCTCTGTCACTAGGTGTTCGAGTTTCCGTGGAATGATGATCTTGTACCACGTTCAAGTTTGGAGGTTGCTAAGCGGATTGTCTACAGTTTGTTTTGGTGAGTAAAAAAAAATATTTACCCAGCTTAAATAGAGAGCGGTGCATAAAATTTTACATCTTTAACCCTTTTAGTCCAAACCTGGTAATATTAATTTGTATTATGAGAGAATTTCATAATACTTTCAAATAGAGAATTTGTTTAACATTTCTATCAAATAAGCCACTTTTTTGTGACATTCCTTTCAAAAAAAAGTCACTGTGGGAAGGCAAAGAGTATTATGTTGCAAAATGACATCATGCATGATTGGGTTGTTTCATTATACAGTGGAATCCTGCTTTCTCAAACCCGGAATCTTTTGAACCTCCCAATTAATTAGTAATAACTTGAACCAAAAGTCATCAGGCCCTCCTCTCAGCACTGGAATTTTACCTCTGATTTCTCGAACTACCTGATTCTCAAACCAATCTTCATTTCCCTTGGAGGTTATAGAAAAATCAGGATTGCACTGTAAATAACTATCTAATGAGAATCACTCACCTTAGTCAGTATATGGATAATACAGTACAGATAGATGATTGCATTTGGAATTGAATTTATGTCTAACATGTATTAGTAGCCACTCAGCCACAGGTATTCTATTGGGAATCTATGAATCTGAAAGGTTCTTTCATCATTTCCTATTCACTAATACATGTAGACAATGATCATGGCTCAAAGAATTTAACTCAGGCTTACTTGTACTCTAACATTATGATAGTTCATATAATTGTGACTTTTTCTTTCAGTTTTAATTTGTTTAGTCGGATTGTCACAGTCTCTCAGCTCAGAACCTTTTATCATCTTTGGTAACACTGTGGACATTCGTCGAGTGAATCTTGATGGCACTGGATATAACTATGTTGTGCGTGGCTTGACGAATGTTGTTGGTCTGGATTTTGACCTTAAAACACAGATGATCTATTGGTCAGACATTGGTGTGAAAAAAATTCAGAGGGTGCATATCAATAATGGCCTGGATTCTGGGAAAATTGAAGATTTTATAGTGGAAGACTTGGGAATCCCTGAAGACTTGGCAGTTGACTGGACTGGTCGAAAGCTGTTTTGGACAGATGCTAATAAGAAAATTATTGAGGTTATTAATCTAGATGGCACACAGCGTCAGGCATTAATTAGCACTGGGCATGACAAGCCAAGAGCTATTGTTGTTGATCCAGCGAATGATAAAGTGTATTGGACAGACTGGGGAAGTGAACCAAAGATATTAAGAGCAAAAATGAGTGATGGGACACAGAAAGAGGTGCTTGTAAATGCAGGTATTGTTTGGCCAAATGGGCTTGCATTAGACTATGTTGACAAGATGCTGTACTGGACAGATGCTAATACAGATAAGATTGAAAAATCATCCTTGGATGGTCAGAATCGTAGGGTTTTGATTGATCGCACCCGGGTATATCATCCCTATGCATTGACACAATTTGGCAGCAGGCTGTACTGGAGTGATTGGCAGCGGCATAGCATTGAGCACTGTAACAAGGATGATGGTGACGACAGGGTCAGTATCACTGGTGGTATGACAAGACCTACGGCGCTGCATGTGTATCATCCTGATAGGCAGCCAGGAGCAGGTAAATTATGATCAGTTGCCAGTCAACAGGCACTAGCTGAGCTGTTATACTTTAAATCTGTGACTCAGTTAGATCTTGAATGTGTAATTAATCACCTATTGAGTTATTCCAGAAAATATTCATACATATACCCCTCCCACATTTTTTTTTTTTGGTTTGAAACCCATCCCTCTGAAAATTCCAGTCTTTGTTCATACTTTCCTTTGAAAATCTTGGCTTGTGAGACACCCCTGCCCCCTCTTTGGAATTTCCAATAAGCCTCCCTGGGGTGGGTATTGATATTTTCTGGAACTGATTGCAGAAATAAACAGATTAACAAAATAATAAATGTCTTGAAACTTTCATGACATGTTAGAATATTAGGATGATAAGAATCACTAGAAAAGAATTGGATGAGTGTGCATCCATGGCATGTATTTCACTGTTGACTGAAAAATTGATATTGAATACCACAGTTTTGTTTGATAACTGTTTGTCATTAAAATTCAATCATTTGTCCCAGTTTGGCTGTCATGTCATTGTCATGTCATCCCTATTAAATTAATAGCTTAAGACATATTTTTGTGATCTTTTGCAGACTTTAATGAATGTCAGGTAGAAAATGGAGGATGCAGTCATACATGCCTAGATCTGATTGGTGGATATAAGTGTCTTTGTCCCTTGGGATTTGAACTTGCATCCGATGATAAGACATGTCAAGGTCAGATATTAATTTATACAGATATTATTAATAAGAAGTGTTGCAAGTCATAAATTGTTATAAATATGTACTTGATGAATGAGACAATTATATGTAGTTATGGTAACCATTAATTATTTGTGAATGCTTTCAGACATAAATGAATGCAGCTACAGTCGTGGAGACTGTGCGCAACTGTGTATCAATTTTCCTGGTGGCTACAACTGCAGCTGTTTGCAGGGCTACACTTTACAAAGTGACAAGAAATCTTGCCAAGGTACATGTGTATGTGTATGCACTTCAGTGCAATTTTGCCCAGTCCTGATGAAGACAAGAGATGAAATTGCCAATGATTCTACTCTTACAAAAAATTTGGGTGGTTCAAAATTGCATAAGAGTACATAAGAGTAGCATAGAGTTGCTGAGAGAGCATGACAGTTTAACATAACCCCCCCCCAAAAAAAAGAAGATAAACTGGGCAAGGTGTATGAAATTTTAATTATTTTCCAGTTGGGTAACTGGAATTGATGATGATGATGACTGCTACTAAATTTTTTTTTTTTTTTCCAGAAACATGTACTCCACCTTAGTAGCTCTTAGTAGCTCATGTAACAGTCACCCTGCGGCCCATTTTAGTATCAACTGAATAGAGAAAGCTAAGAATGCTAGTTGGAGTAATAGTCTCTTTTATGGACGAAGTAACAAACTTAAGGATCCCATGTTTTTTTTATTTCAGATGCTGATGAGTGTCGCATTAATCATGGAGGCTGTGAGTTTAGCTGCAACAATACAGAGTCCTCATACTACTGTTCATGCCGCGTTGGATACATGCTGGCAGCTGATAAACACAGCTGTGAGGACATAGATGAATGCCAGACACTCACCCACCAGTGCCCAGGTAAAGACATTGGAATGATAAAGTCTCAGTCGTCATCATTGACACCTAAGGGAGGTGACCCAATATGAAAGTGACCATGTGATTGTCATTACATTTGTGTCGTTTAAATATAAAGCTTGGTTCTGTGTACTATGTTCAAATCTAACATGACATTGCGGGGGTTACATGTATCTTCAGTTGGTACCTTTTGAAGTTTTAGCCAATTAGCTTAATGGCATGAGTCGTCATTTTTCTGATGTAAATAATTTAACTTAAGTTAAAGGTAGAGTTTAAACTCAATTAGAACCACCTTTTACATCATACATAACAGTGTAACGTGAAAGTACCGCTAAAAAGCTTTCATTTTATTGGTCACAGATGTGAAAGTTGGAACCACCTTGTACATCATAATTAACAGTACCACATAAAAGTATTGCCCAATAGCTTTCACTTGAAAGGTCAGACACTGGGGTTTTCTCCTCAGACTTATATGTTAGATTCAACCACCATGTGGAAGTTGAACTATTTCCTATTTCCTGTTTCAGATCAATGTGAGAACATTGCAGGTTCTTACAAATGTCTGTGCTCCTCGGGACTCGCTTACAATCCAGTAAACAAGACTTGTGATGACATCAATGAGTGTTTAACCAGCCAACACTCCTGCCAGCAGCTCTGCGTCAACACCAGAGGAAGCTTCCACTGTGACTGCAACCCAGGCTTCCTTCTGAGCAGTGATCAATTGACGTGTGCAGATATTGATGAATGTAGCCAATCAAATCACTCCTGCCAGCATCGTTGCGTCAACACTATTGGTTCTTACGTGTGCAGCTGTGACGCTGGTCATACTTTATCAGATGACGGGCGCACATGTGACGTGATGGATTGTGGGAAACCTGACGGAATTCCGGGAATTGTGGTGAAGTGTGACGGCACTGCAGTTCAGTACAGGTTAGATATCAATTCTAGAGAGACACTCGATGACAACTTACACCATGTAGGCAGGTATAGCTATTGGAATGACTGGCAGTAGCATCTTAGGTTACAGTCGAACCTCTTCACAACGGCCTACTTGGGGGCAGAAGAAAGTAGCCGTTGTAGAGGGTTAAAATAATAGTGAATGTATGGACCGTCCGTCGGGACCAAAAAAGGCAGCCGTTGTAGAGAGGTGCCCGTTGTAGAGAGGTGGCTGTTAGTGGAGGTTCGACTGTATTTTAAAAGAAAAGTGCCTTGGTTAGATAGAGAAGAGTACGTCAATCAAGAAGCGAATAGCACTCCGGTTAGGTAGAGAATATAGTGTCATTCGAGAACTTACTAGGTTAGCCTTTAGAGCGGTTTTCAATTGAGTATCGAAACTAATTCACATTTGCTTTGGTTTTGCATTCTATACTACACGATTGGCTTAAAATCTCGCGGACTACTTTGTCATCCAGTCAGAAGTAAAACTAAAATCAGTCATGACTCGCTCACATGCCTTTTCCCGCGCTTCATGTCAACTACTGTAGGTGTATTTGCTTCGAGTTTTTGACCCGGGGTTTTTGACCGTGTCCTTTGTAATTGGCCAGGGTGATGACTTTGGTATTTACTATTGCGACACTCTTTGCCATATTTTGACAGCGAATATGTTTTAGTGAAACGTTTCTGAAGCAGTTTTGTTCTGTTTTCAGTTATGGTAAGGCTTGCACGCTGTCTTGTACCAAAGGATTTCTGATTGGTTCAAGCGTCATCACGTGTCAAGCCTCCGGTCGGTGGAGTGTCATCAAAACCCAGTGCGCAAGTCAGCTCCCAGGCTCCAACAGTCCGCCTCTCGGAATCTTACTGTCTTCGCCTTTTGTTCCTGAAAACTCACCTCCTGCCGCTGTAATAGGAAGACTGACCACGGTCGACAATGATGAAGAGCAGTTCTTTACCTATTTGGTGATTGACGGCGCTGGTGTGTTTGATGTGGACAATAATGCCAGCACGTTGGTCCTGGCTGGTGCAGTGGACTACGAGAGACAGTCAGTGTACACGGTGTGTCTCATGTCTATAGACAGTGGTGTGCCACAACTGTCCATCAAACAGAACCTGACTGTCTACGTCACAGATGTCAATGAACCACCAAGTAAGTTAGCATAGGAGTATCAATAGCCTAATGATGGTCATGTTGAATTCTAGTTGAAGCGGTTTAAATTAACACTCTGTCCGGGGCCTTCGCGTCGTATTCTTGAGCAAGACACTTTACCCTCACAGAGCTACTCTCCCCGGTGTATAAATGGTGCTTTTTCCTACCGAAGAAAACTGTTTTGACCAGACCATGCAATTTGTTTAATTTCTTTTTGTTTTGTTTGTTTTTCTGGCAGGTCCACCTACAATATCCTCGTCGGTGATTTACGAGAACGCCTCTCTTGGAACTGCCATCGGCATTGTTAATTCTTCAGATGTTGACTCCGGACAAGAAATCATCTATTCTTTGCTCACAGATGCTGGCGACAGATTTCGACTCGTTGGCGGCGAGTTGACGCTTCATTCCAAACTGAACTACGAGGAAACGTCAAGCTTCCGTTTGACAGTCGAAGCTAAAGATGACGGTTCTCCGAGGCTGTCCAGTATATCAGTCTTCAATATCACAGTTATGGACTGTAATGATCCCCCAACGGGGCTTCTATTTAGCGGGGGTGTAATCCCCGAGTTCTCAGAACATACCCCGGCGGGAACCCAGAACGGTTCCGTGATAGGGAACTTTTCAACTGTGGACGAAGACCTCGGACAGTCACACGTTTATTCCATTGTAGGAGGCAGTGAAGTAGTCTTTATTAACAAATCGTCCCTAGTGGTTGCCTGGGCGGAGCGGTTGAACTTCGAGTCACGTGATCTTTGGACGTTAAAAGTGCGTTCTACTGATCCTTTTGGTGAGAGCGTGACGTCATCGGTTGAGATTCGCCTGCTTGATGTGAATGAAAATCCAAGCGGTATTTTGTTGTCTGCGGATGCCTTTCTTGAGCATGCACCGCTGGGTACCGTTGTTGGTTCGCTGAGCGCTCGGGATCCAGACCTCCATGATAACCACACGTTTGCTCTAGTTTCCAATCCCAGCGGCGTCTTCTCGGTCGAAGGGAGAACGCTAAAAATTTTCGCCGACGTTGATTTCGAAACGACAATAAAAAATCCTTTAATAGTTGTCTTGAGAACAACCGACAGAGCTGGGCTTTCATTTGAACAAGCTTTAAACATCACAGTGCTCGACAAGAATGAAGCCCCAACGGATATTATCCTTCACCCAGAAAAACCCTGCGGGTCCTCATCCGGGATATGCGTGGAAGAGAATGAACGTATTGGTTACCGCGTAGGAGATATAACAATGGCGGACCCTGATCACAATGATCCCGGAATCTGTGATGTGGTGAACGATGATGTCTTTAAAATTGAAAACGGCGCTGTCCTTGTCAACGGGGATATTAACTTCGAAGCGCTGGACAGCTCGCGTGTGATCAGTGTAGAGATTAGGTGCCGGGATAAAGGAGGACTTATTATCGAGATGAGCTTTAACATCAGCGTCCTGGACGCCAATGATGCTCCAAGCGCCGTGAGCTTGTCGCATCAGGTTGTCAGTTCTAATGCTTCCGTGGGGAGTCTAGTGGGGTCGTTTATTGTTGTGGATGAAGACCCGAGTGACTCGCATGTCTGTTACCTCTTGGATCCTGAAAGCTTGTTCAGAGTCTCTGGGCTTCAGCTCTTTGTTGAGAAACCGCTGACGAACGCAACGTCGTCTCGTCATCCTATCCACGTGTTCTGTAGTGACGGCAAGCGCATAAGCTTCCCAACGACCCTGTATATTGAAGTGAGGAGCAACCTTCTGTCAGCGAAGATGAACATCTCGTTGGATTCCACAGATGTGAAAGAAAACGAGCCCGCAGGCAGTTTCATAGGGCATGTCACGGCCAGGACATCTGATCCGAATGATACTCTTGTTTTCCAGTTGGATGATGATGCCAACGGAACTTTTGCTTTGGTTAGCGGAAACGCTGTAAATTCACGAGACTTGGTGACAACGCGGCCGCTGGATTACGAGAAGGAGAATGAGTACAATGTGGTCATCCGTGTTTATGGAAGTGGAGGGGCAACGAATTTTGAGGTGTTTCGCATCCAAGTAAGAAATATTCTCCAATATTGATTCTGACAATTCTGCCTCCAATCCTCAAAATCGCTTTCCAGTGAGTAAACCCTTCAATTTTATCTTTGTAGGTGATTGACGTGTATGAACCACCGGAACATTTGGTACTTCATCATAACCACGTGGCCGAGAACCTGGCTGGTACACTGGTTGGTGTGATCACTCTCAAAGACCCTCAGCTAAGCCCCCTCTCTATTGAGATCCTAAGTGACCCTGGGTCAGTTTTTGAGGTAAATGTAAATACTGAATTAGTTCAAAAGTAGGCCCGATTTGACATGTGAAGGCTATTCATTTGAAGGCTGTTCAGATTTTTGCAGGTTTTGCACCCGGTCTTGTTGCAAAACAGAAGCAACGGCATCGCAGAAGTTGGCAATATTTTTGAGAATGTTATTCAGTAGGAATTGGTCAGTGATAGATCTACGGTCTTGTCCGGAATGAAAACAGAAATGACATTCCCCTCTCGCGGCTCAAAATCAAGAGAGGATTCGCTTTTAAATCAAAACGCGCTATTTTTTTCCATCTTTGAACTAGAGGAGGGGATAGTCCTAATTTTTCTTTTTTAAAGTCACCGACATTGTAGCTGTTATTACGGTAGCGTGTCAATACTGAAGCTGTCTGTTTTCTTCAGCTTCGTCCGACGAGCATCTCTTACACATGGAAGTTGATGACTCGACGGCCGCTAGACTACGAAATAGCTCAGGTTCACCACATCACAGTACAGGTCAAGGATGCCAACCACTCCCTCACTGTCAATCAGAGCTTCACCATTTACGTCACAAATGTAAACGAGGCCCCCACTTCGATTGTACTCAGTAACCACGTGATAGCAGAAAATTCACCCACTGGGACTGTGGTGGGGATCATAAATGTCACTGACCCGGATGAAGCGTTCGTCCCGCAAAGCATCACTTGTGGATTGCGTAACGACGCTGGCGGCAGGTTCAAGGTCAGTGGTTTGGCACTGACAGTGTTGGCTTCCCGGATGTTAAACTTTGAAGACCCGGATGGTCCAGATCATTTGGTAGACATTGAATGTCAGGATCAGGATGGCGAAGCAACTCAACAGCAGTTTGTTGTAAAGTTGACAGACGTTGATGAGCCGCCGATCAGGATAGAGTCATCGTCGGGAAAATTCGAGGTACTTCATGGTGCTTCATTTCCTCGCTTCTGTTTTTGGTATAAAATTGTACTCTAACAATCGTAATTGAAAAGGTTAGGTGGTAACAAACGACAGATATCGTGGTCTACTGGGATGGGTGATAGCGAAGATTGCTTGATTTTTGTTACCAGGTTGTCTCAATGTTTGGCATTTGCTGTTCAACGGTTATAAAAGTTTCGTGGTCTCGTACGGTCTTTATACGGCTGCTCATTTATTGTCAGCCAGGCACACTTTTATTTTAAAGAAATCTAAGGGTTAAACGTCTACTCAGAAATTCCCTTTTAAAATTTTAAATTCCGTTATCTAGCTTCGACGTCCGGCTTCATGTTGCAGTCTCATCTCGCCTCGGATTAGTAATTAGTGGCCACTGGGTTTTACTGTTATCATTAACACAAATTTCCATAATCAAAATAGTAATTCTTATTACTGATCAACATACTTTTATTAAAATCTTAGTTCTAAGAATTTAGTGGTGAGTCAATACAAAATGTCCTTTAATTGATGATTTTCTTTAGTCTTGGAGGCGCGCTGTTTTCCGGACCGAGCGTTCCTGCTTCGTGCCCTAGCCGGGGTCTTCTCATAGTGCCCCTCTCCATCAAGGTGTATAAATGGATACCGACGAATTTAATACTTCAGTTGGGGTGGGAGGTAATCCTGCGATGAACTAACATCCCATCTAGGGAGGAGTAGAAAGCTTCGCCTGGGTGGGCCACTGGTCAGACGCAAACGTTTTCTCCCTTTATTCTTGTAACAAGATATTGTCACTGTAAGGAGAATTGAATTCTTGATCATTTTGTCTTGTTGTTTAGATCGCCGAGAATTTGAGTCCAGGATCGCTGGTTGCTATCCTGCGCACTGCTGATGAGGACAAGTGGCAAAACCATTCCTACAGTGTATCACCGGACACGGTGTTTAACATTGTAGGCAACCGATTGGAAGCTCTTGTGAGGTTGAATTACGAAGAGCAAAACGTTTACCTTATAAACATTACCACGACTGATAGCGGTAACCAAATGTTGACGCAAAGGGTGGTGGTCAGTGTACTCAATGTCAATGACGCGCCGACAGGAATAGTGTTACCACAAGGGACAGCTATTCCTGAAAATACTAAGGTGAGCGGGTAGGTCTAGTGTTATTGATAACGTAACGAAGTGTGTTAGCTCAGCACTAGCACCAAGTCCTTTCTTAGCTGTCAGATAAACCACATTCAGATCCTAATGGAGCGGTTTTCAATTGAGTGTCGTAAAACCAAAACCAAACCAATTACTTACCATTAAGACTACTCAGTCAATCTCAAACCAAAGTAAAACCAAAATCAAAATAATTGCCTGATTACTTTCTACACACTATACCTGTATCAGTAATCTAGTTTTGGCGTCAGTTGATCAGACATTCATCTGAGGTTAATCAACATTGTAGTGAAGCAACAATGTAGTATTTGCCTTTGGGTCAAAAAACGAGCTCTGGTGATTTAGTTTTGGGGTTACGCAAAGAGATAGTAACTCGGATCTGCTAATAGCGACTTACTTTTCAGGTTAACCAACGTTTTAGCTGACTTGTACTTTTCGTTCTCGCGCAGCAAAGGATTAGAATGACAACAACTATAAAAAACTTTTAAACCTGTCTTTCAGACTGAAATATCATGGGATATTTGTACCCTTTTCGCGAGTTATTTGTACTCCACAGAGTGGACTGTGACAATAAGGGTGAATTTGTTACGACATAGTATGACTTGTATTGTGCAGATGCGTCTGCAGTCTTTATATTTGAAACTGGACTGTTTTCTATTACTTGTTCTACAGTAAGAGAGATAGATCAAAGATGACGTAATCGCTCCGTTAGCTAACTGAACTACTGGTACGTATCTCTTTTTAGGTTGGCTCACTGATTGGAGAACTGACCTCACTGGACGAGGACAGCGGACAGACACACACCTACGTTATCCAAGCTCAAACCCCAAGCGGCGTTGTCTCTCTTGGAGACACGAACAAGCTGTATGTGGCGGACAGCACCGCTCTCAACTATGAACTACACCGTCATGTAAACATCACTGTAACGACTACAGATGATGGTGTGCACTCGCGGCTCTCCAAGGTTGTGACTTTGTCGCTGCCCATTCTCGACGTAAATGAGCCTCCGTACGGCATTCAGCTGGCTCCAGCAAGTGTTAAAGAGAACTCACCCATCGAAACAGTCGTGGGACTCGTTACAGTACAAGATCCCGATACTTTCTCCCAGTGGTTTCACTGTCGACTTCTAAACGACGGCTCTGGGAGATTTGGAGTCAGGATAAACGTGTCGCTCATTGAGCTGTTTTTAACTGGCAACGGATTGCCTGTAGATTACGAGAAACACTCCACGCATAACATCACGCTTCTGTGTAGCGACAGCGGTGGCTTGTCTTACGAAAAAGATTTTGTAATTCGAGTTTTAGATGCGAATGATCCTCCATCGAACGTGATCTTCACAGACTCTCCAGGGGACACAATCTTGAGTCCGAATCCCCCGGTTAACGCGTCGGACATTAAGCTTGTGACCCAGGCTGTCGCGACTGTAAATGAAACAGCTGATGTCGGAATCACCATTGTAGCTTATTTGTGGGTCATCGACGAAGATAACGCCAACAACCCCGTGCGGCCCCAGACGCATGTGTGCAAACTCATTAGCGAGGCCGAAGCTAAACTTCTCGTCACGGTCGACGTGCACGCACCATCGAACTCGCGGAGAAAACGTTCAAGCGATGTGAACTCCGTCCCGACGGAGTTTATGATTCAGCCTGGAACCAACTCTCTATTAGTTCGTGAGAAGCTTGATTACGAAACAAGGGCGAACTACACGCTGTATGTGAAATGCACCGATGATGGCGTTCCCAAAATGTCCACTATTAGTTCTTTGCTTGTTTTTGTCTTAGACGTGCCTGAAGCGCCGACGGATGTCATCTTTTCTTCGTTGACAATTCCAGAAAATGCAAGTAATGGAGCAGTCGTTACAAGCTTTATTATCATCGATGCAGACTTCACGCGGACTGGTTACTCCTTCGAGTTAACGTCACGAGGTGTACCGTTTCGTCTGGTCGGAAATCTTATCGTCGTTTCGCGAATTCCGCTCGATCACGAAGCCACGCCACTCATCACGGTACAACTGACAACGCGCGAAGTATTGACAGACTTAAAATTCGTTAAAACGTTTGACGTCGCGATCACCGATGTGAACGAACCGCCGAGCAGTGTTACGCTCGACGGAAAGACGAAAGTGGACGTTTTGGAAAGTTCCCCTATTGGATACATCCTCGGGAGATTTATTGTGGAAGATCAAGATGTCTACGATACCTCATTCAATATTACAGTCGAAGGAGAGCAAAACGAAATCATGGTAGACTTCCAGGTCAGCGGACAAAACCTTGTGGTGGCAAGTCAGCTAAATGCGTGGTTACGTGATCAATACCTCCTCAGAGTACGTGCAACTGACAGCGGAGGACTGAGTACGAGCAATATTTTGACCATCACAGTAGCAGAAGTAGATGTATGTTCTATGAATAAGAGCTTTTGTAGTCCATACGCCATCTGCTCTCGAGCGGGTCCGGGACGAGCCTCGTGTTCGTGCAAACTCGGTTTTACTGGTGACGGCTTTCACTGTAGTGACATCAACTACTGTGACCCCGACCCATGCCATCCGGGTAACTCAATCGATGGATGTCAAGATGGTTTTGGTGGCTGGAAAAATTACTCTTGTAACTGTAGACTAGGATGGTCCCCTCCCGACTGCAATGTGGAAATCAATGAATGTCGACCCAGTCCTTGTAACATGAACGGAACAGAGTACTGCGAAGATCTCGTCAACGATTTTAAATGCAATTGTAAGCCGGGCTTCAGTGGTAGGCTCTGTGACGCGAACATTGACGACTGTAAATCGACCAGCTGTCTTAACGGCGGCACATGCGTCGACAAAGTAAACGGTTTCATTTGCCTGTGTAAAGATCCGTATGTTGGGGTTAATTGCGACACGGACGATACAATCTGTCGGGAAAACCCGACGATCTGTCCTCGTAACGGCACGTGCATTTCGTGTGCCGAAGATCCTACGAAGTTCTCGTGCCGGTGTGAGGAACCGTGGGGCGGAGACTGCTCAGGGTGTGCGCCAGGCTATGGCGGACAGAATTGCACGCCGTGTAAATATCCGCGGACTGGAGTAAACTGTGAGCTGGATTGGAGGAACTGTGAACCCGATCCCTGTCTTCAAGGGGGGACGTGCTATCCCTTAAGAGAGAAAGACTTTTCATGTGTGTGTCCACCTAATTACTTTGGAAAGACTTGCGATAAAGCCGCTGCTGTGACTGAGGATGGCAGCAGAAGCGGGAACCGTACGGGAATTAGTCCCGCGGGACTCTACTCGATGATCGGCTGTATCGTATTGCTAGTTGTTATCATCATCGTCCTGATTATCGTGTGGAGGAGAAGACAACGAAGAAAATACAGATCGAAAAATGCGCGGATTGAATACCACAATAGACGAAGCAAGCCGGAGGTAAGCTCGCCGTTTCGAGAAATGATGCAACGAAGTAAGTTCAACTTTGAAAATCCTGCGTTTATCGCTGAACCCGAACGAGACGGTGATACCAAATCTGATGGCGACAACACGCCCACAGAAACTGAAATAAGACTTTCAGGCGATGCTGTAGCCATTGCGCGAGATAACCCCATGTATGAACCGGTTGAGGAAGTGTTGAGGAAACATGCTGCAGTTGTACACAATCCTATATTCGTGGACGACTCAGCGAGGGAAAACACAAACAATGCAAATCCACGGCTCTGGCGACGATCTCATTCTGATCAATTAGGTTTCTCAAAATGCTAAACTGTCTGAGATGTAGTTTCAAACGCTTGTATGTTAAGTGTATATGTAGTCTTAAATGCGCATCGGTTTAACGCACTACGCGCGCAGTTCCCGCCAAACCTACCGCTCTTAAATTTCAAGCCAAATCAACTGAGAAATTTCCTCAGAAGGACGTTTTGTGCGCTGCATATGCATGGGGAATTTAATGCTGTTATCCTCCTAGTTTATCGCTCTATAATTTGGACTGTCACTGTTGCGAACGTCTTGCTCATTTTTGCCTCAAACTCTCAAGTACTTCTAAGTAACGGAAACCAGAGCGGCGTTGGATTTTTGAACCTCTTAGGAAAACCCTACCGTACCGCGTTCAGCGGTCTTGAACAAAAATTCCACGCCACTTCCGGTTTTCGTTGTTTGACGCGTTACTTTCAACAAGGTTGCTACAAGGCGTTACAAAGAGTACAGTTGTAAAGTTAAATACGAGACGATAGCTGCAGCTTTTTAGGCGGCAAAAATTCTCATGAGAATTTCTGTTTTATGTACATTAGAGCATGATGGGTTGATTTTGACAGTCGTGGTCACGTGGTTATTTTCGTTCGTGTGGGTAAAAGTTGACTGATAGCACATTTATGGTTGCCATGCAACGAGATTTTATATATAATTGTAAATAATAGGAAATATGTATATACGCGCATTCGTTTGTTCCAATTGCTCTGTAGACAGAACTTTTACAGGAATTTTTCACTTAGCTATCTCTTTGTAGAAGATGTATTTTATTAAGAGTTAAGTTATTAGAACTGTGCACATGTGGATTGGTTGGTAACGAGAGAAAATGATCTAGATTATTTTCCCTTGTTGATAATCAATTTTCATTTTTACGATTGCTTTTTATCGTGAAATGTTTTGTATTTTAATATTGCACAGTGTTGTAAAACTATTTAGTTGCAGTTGGAACTGATCGCGTTGTTTTTAAGCATTGTCATTTAAGACTGCCAAATGTGTCTTTGGTTTTTGACATTGTTAAATAAGGTGTACTTGAAGAGCTATTCTAGCCCAAAACGTACACCTTCTGGTCTGAAAGTGACTCTCACGCAAAAATGGTGCCTTCCACTCAAAACTCTAAGACTGCCCAAAATTTTCATATCACCCTGTGCAATCAGGACATGCCGTACCTGTACTTAAAGAAGCCACGTCACGCTTGTGCACCTTGAAAAGTTGAGCCTAAATTTTTCAAGTTCATCGTTTGTAATCCATGTTAATCTTCTCCATCCTTAACCATCCCTAGTCTTTTATTGTTTATTGTTATCTCTTTGGTGTTTTTCTATCTTAGTGAACTACTATTTTCGGGTTTCCTTCAATTTAGAGATAATTTGTACGTGGCTAAAATAACTCAAAATGCTATGACCGAGTTCCTTTCAGGGGATAAGTCCCTATATGCAGGGTAAAATCAGGGTTCGTACGGGTCCTGGAAAACCTGGAAAGTCCTGGAATTTTATTGTGGTATTTTCCAGGACTGGAAAGTCCTGGAAAAGGGCTACTGGTCTTAGAAAGTTCTGGAAATCTGTTAAACTCAAGTAAAAAAATATGAAATGTATGGCAGACAGTAAGGAAAATTAACATTAAGATCTTGGGGGTGAAAGGGTTAATGTGAATTTTAGAGTCCTGGAAAAATCAGTCTGAGTCCTAGAAAAGTCCTGGAAAAGTCCTGGAAATTTGTTTCTGAAAAAGGGTACGAACCCTGTAAAATCAGAAATAAGGGTTTTCTTTCACTAATGAATCAATTTATTGCATGACGAAGGTTTACCAGTTAAGAATGTTGCGTGTTAGCGTACGAGCAGGCTCTAGTGTCTGAGTCTCGCGCTCAAGCGCTCCTATCTGGCTTTTCCCTCTGGCGTGCGAGTGAGTTTACGAACGACGTGATATTTAGCGTGACAACGGTCAGTTACCATTCAGACTCATACTCGCACACGTATTTTTCACTGGGTCTTACAAGGCTTTCTAGGGTGATACTGAAGACTTTTCATGCGCACGTTGAACTAGCTGCCGTACAGACTCCTAATTAGGAGGCTAGAACATTGAGTGATAGAACACTCCTCGTTTCCTGATGGACACGTTTTACGTGCAAAGTGGACGTACACACACCCTCCCTTGATAGAAATGTGCCTATCGTGAGTGTACAGTCGGACGTGGTTCTTTGTGTGTATGATGTATACGTCACTTTTAATACTCCGCTTGACAGGAAATTGTTCATTTTGAATTGCACGCGAGGAAACGTTGTTCTGGTTTTGTGTCCTAATCCAATATAGGTGGGTGCGCTTTTCGCTCGACTGATTTTTAAAGGACTTCTTATGAATACCCTGCATGCGAGACAGCGAGTCCCATCAGGGTAACTTATGGATATAAACCGTCTGGAGAACATTTTTTGCTGACAATGTCCGTCCAAATCATATACAATCTGGACCCTTTGGAATGCTTTTGTATTAACAAAGTATCACTTTTGAGGTTTATGTTCGATGTGAACCCAGTGAATCTTACACGTCCCGTTCTTGAATCGTATCGCACCCCTGACGTCTCGTCACTAGCTATAGACACTTTCTCTGTTTCGTGCTGAAGTTTCAGGGATCAGAATCTGGACAGAGTACGTTTTCTTTTTATTGAGCTGCTGTTTTAGAAAGGAGCAAGTTCCGGGGTGGAGCGGCGGAAATTGAACCCAGTCCTCTATTTATGTCGTGACCAAATCGACAGTTCGTTTCAACAAATGAAGTCACACTTGTAAAGGGCTTCCGTGCGTGTGGCAATGATCCATCAAATTTTAAAGATTTGTTGCATTTGATAATTTTTCAGGCAATTTCGAACGGCGTAAAACCTTCGCGAGTCTCGATCATAGACAAATTTCCAAGTCAAGTTGATTTTTCTTTTCCAATTGTATTGTACAGTGCAGGTTGCAAAATGTACACAAAATTCTTTGTTAGCGAATGTGACGTCACAAATTACATAAACATATCAAAGCAAATGGCTTACAATTCACAAAGCCAACACTTGCATCATATTTCCGTAAAGAAGTCGTTTAACTTTTTATACCTTTAAAATGAAGCGCCTTTTTTCAAGACCAAGCTAGAAGGTCTGTTGTGATTAGGTCATATAAAGAGCCAGATAATCCGCGGAACACGCAAGCATCAGTAATTGATTACGAGTGTTTTATTGGCTCACTTGTACTGTGACAAGTAAATTTTTTTACGAGTAAACACCACGCTTGCTAAAGATTTTGACCTTTAAAAAAAGACACAACGAGGGAAACGAAACTCGAAAAGGTTATTAAAATCAAAAGGTTTTTTTAGCCACGTATTTGAGACCGGAAATCTTTAATTAAATCAGTGTTTGGATGATGACATGTTGGGCGGCATGTTCGTGCGTGACGAAATGAACACATAACAAAGATCACGACGAAAGAGAGTTCTAGCTGTTTCCATAAAGATTGTTAACCGTCTCAGGAACTGGAGAAGGAAATCTTTTGGCATTAACGTGGAAAACGGTAGCAAAGTATTTCTTCATTTAGCGGACAGTGTCAAAGGAAATTTTCTACCGTCCAATATGCACGATTTACCGTCTGATTTCAAAACTCTGTCGCTCAGTCTGAGGGAACGCAACAAACGAATGTACAATAATTCGCTTATGAGCGATATAAATTTCATCGTAAGAGAGAGCGAAACGGAGAGAAAGATGTCAATCCCAGCTCACAAGTACGTGCTGGCCATTGGAAGCCCTGTGTTCTACAAAATGTTCTACGGAGATTTGTCCGAGAAAAGTGACTCTGTTGAGCTTGTGGATGCAGACTCCAACAGTCTGTTGGAACTTTTTCGCTTCTTGTATTCGGACGAAACCCATTTAACGGCTGAGTGCGTTCTCCGTGTAATGTATTTGGCTGAAAAGTACATGATACCTGGCTTGCTGGACGAATGTGCCGAGTTCTTGAGCAACGAAATCGACGCCAACAACGCTTTGGACATTTTGAAACAATGTGAGTTGTTCGGTGACACCGACCAACTGCAAGAGAGATGTTGGAACATCGTTGATCTCCAGACCCGGCAATGCCTTCGTTCCAAAAGCTTTCTTTCCACGTCTGGAACGATCTTGGAAGCTCTAGTGAAGCGAGAGACCTTAGACATTGACGAGCGCGAATTATATCGTGCAGTCATTTCCTGGGCTGGAGCACAATGTAAAGCGCACTCGCTGGAACCGATCGCTAAGAATATCAGAAAGTTTCTTGGGGGTGTAATGGCTCACATTCGTTTCTCGCTTATAAAAGACAGTGATTTGCTCAATCACAGTTTGGCATCTGGGATTCTTACATTCGAAGATTCCCAATTTACACAAGGGCTCTCCGCTTCTGATTTCGTTCTCGCGCAGTTAAATCACGATCATTCTCCCCTTCGACTAATTAAGGCTCGTCATCCGGCGCGGCAAGGGATCAAGCCTCTTCGCTGTCGCCGCTTGTCCGTAAATGAACCACCTCGCCTATTTGTTCCGTACGAAAGCACCAACAGCGTTTGCTTCATAGCTGATCAACCGGTGTGTATTAGCGGAGTGCGGATCATTTTGAGCGGCCAGAAGCTCAACGACAACTATGCAGTCATTACGAAACTGTTGGACAGCAATCGCAGCTGTGTGAGTTGCGTGCAAGGTAGCTATACAGTGGAGTTTGGAGGAACCGAAGGTTTACCTGGCTTTGATGTGTATTTCACTGAGCCTATTCTCGTCAGAAAGGGTGCAAAATATTTTATCACCATGTTCTCACCCGCCGAGTTGGATTTGCCGCAGTGCATTGGAAAGAAAGATCAAGTGAATTGTGCAGGAGTGAACTTTTATTTTCCTGATTCTACACACAGACAGTTCCCCGAGTTGATCTTCCATCCTTTAGCGCCCCTTTGGTAGAGAGAAAAAGCACTATAAAATATAAACACCCTCTCAAGTTTCTTTATGCAAATGAATGAACGAATACGATTAATGAACGGTGGACTGTATTATGATCGAGTATTTTTACGGGGACAATAAACAATTCATAAATTCTTGCATGTCTTGAAATCTTTAAGGTATTACGCTGGTCGATGGGTCACGAAAGCAACCCGTGATAGTTACGTGACATTTAATACCATGGTAACGAAGAAAAAGTGTATTTTGTTGTCTTGTTACTGTTCTTGTTTTTGCCTACATCATGGAAGATGTCAGTTCAAAAGTCCGATGACTGGTTAATTCTCCTTCTTGCATGTCCTTGGAACTATGCTGATTTTATTAATTGACTGCGAGTAGTCCCTTTATATCTTAGTCGGAGGGTACATTATTTAAAGTCATACTTCACTGATTAAGATTAAAGAGGGGCTATCCCTGGTTTTTGAAAGACTTGCGCCGTAAGAATAAACACGCTCTTGAATTGGAGCCTCTGTCTGCTCTCTGGAGGCGTCCGTAATGGATGCCCACTTTGCTATGACTCTATCTATCAAGGGAGTTTGCTTGTCCTAATTGAGTTCATGTTGCTTTAATTCATATTCTTTGTACATATATTTTGCCCTGAAATTATTCGATATAACGTTTGATTTATTCAATAAAAGTACAGAATTCATCCGTTGTGATGGATGTGGTTTCTTGGTTTGTCCGTGAGAAGCGGGGACGGGGAAGGGGAAAGCGATTCCTTAGAGAAAGGATCTTGAAAGTTTAATTTCTGACAGTTGACGATGAAGTGTGCCACGTTAATCCAAATTACCTCTAGGTATCAAACTGCAAACCTTGTGAAATGTAGACGGATCAGAAATTGGTCATGGAAGGACGCAAGCAAATGGTTTCCCTTTGTTAGAAAAGGGCCTGGAGAGTAGTTTTCTTACACCACGTATTCATCGGTAGTTGTTCGATGCAGGCCATATTTCTCGCGGGCTCGAATTCACCACAACGTGACATGCCGAAAAGTTAGCTTCGAACGAAAAGAAGTGATATTTTATCAACATAAAAGCCACTCCGACCTCTTGGACTCGTAAATATGTTTTCAGTATCATTAAGAGGACTTAGATGTCAGAAAGGTGAGGTGTATTTTGTGTTTTTATGCGTTAATCGTGCAAGTTACAGTTTAAAGGACAGACCGCTACGATTCAGTATTATCGATTTCGTTTGTAAAAGTTCCCAAATCGGATTGCTTCGTTCATTGCCGTTTCTTGAATTTTTCAGCTCTCAAGGAAGCGATAAGAGGAGCCAGATCCATCTGCCTTAACTCCGGTTATAATGTAAGTTGAATTTAAGTAAAATGGTGGAGATTTCCAAGTAAATAAGACGTGTTTGCGTAATACACGAACATGTATGTTGGCTTTTGTGACTTTCTTTGCAATATGAAGCAAAATGTTTGCACCAGTTTTTCACATATAAAACCAATCTTACTAGCACGATCGTTCAGGAAAAACTCTCAAGCACTTCTGACCAGTTTTAATATTTTCATACAAATAATAACGACCACAACGGACAGCACCTCTCCCACTCCCTGACTGCACTGGGAACGAGTCGGTTAGCCTTCTGAAAGTTCTACGTGTCTGGGAGTTGCACTGTCCTTAATGGCTTGTTTCATGTTTAGACTGTTGAATAGACCAGTCCTGCATACCACACCATGCAGCGTGTCAGGACGTAACATGTCAATCAAAGTCGATCATCGAAAATGTAGTCGATAAGTTGATAGTACTCGATATTTGTCAATAATTGTTAATCAACAAGTTAAATTTGTCGATAAAAGTTGATAATCACAAGATTTTCAACTGATTATCGATTTTATCGACAAAAATGCAGACAAATGTTTCAATCAGCTACGAAATTCAAGTAACCAAACCAATAATAGCTCCATTGACTTTTTTTATGCTGAGTGTAAACAGCTCTAAAGTAAATCTGTATGGCAGTAAACTTAAATAGAAACCTGAACAACCAAGTGGTCTGTTATTCATTACAGAATAGAATGTTTAAATTACCTTGAGAAATGATCGATTAACAGTTTCAGCTGAACTAAATCGTGACCTATAACATAACTCGAACCAACCTAGTTCCCAGGGTCTCTCTAGGCGGGGGAGATGAGAGATCCTGTGAACTCAAAGTCGTGTTTTTTTCGGGGGGACAGAACGGGCCAAAGTTTAGACTAGATGCGGGAAAAAATTGAGGCCAGCAAAGTAATTAAGAGGTAAAGTAAAGTAAATTGACATTTTATTTCATCAGTGTTTTTACTCAGTTCAACATTTGACAAATACAAACTGTTACGACTCTCCTCCCTCTCCACTAGGTTGGCTAAATTCGCCGGGTTTGTATGCTCCTTGCTTCTCCTTGCACCTGTGACTGTTGTACCACTCCGCAACCTACGTATGCCTACGCCATACATCGTTTTTTGTATTTCCGATACTTGTCGATTGAAATTGATCAAAATCAATCAAAATCAATCATAATCGAACAAAGTCRATAATCACAATAAATTGTGTGATCGACTTTTATCGATTTCCGATATTTGTCGATTGATTAGTATCGACAATGATCGACAGTGATCGATTTTTATTGACTATTGAAATAATCGACATGTTACGTCCTGAGCGTGTTCAAACAATAACACCAGAATAAGGTTGGAGTGGACGTGTCAATCCATTCCTTACATGTAATTTTTCTTCACCCTGACCTTTTTGCCATTGTTTGTTCCAATGCAGGAAAGGTCTACGAGCTCCCTTTATTTAAGGTGGCAAACATAAAACAAAGAAATAATCTAAGTCCCAAATGTTATTCAAATCCCGTTTGGGACTCAGAATTTTTCTTTGTCTTATGCGCCTGACAAAATGGTGAACATTCCTATTTTTGATATTTATTTACCAAGCTTGGCGTTTATCATCTTTCAGTGAATAGAGATATTTTGAATTTTTTGTGTTCTCTTTTTCAGAATTTGCTGTTTTTACAAACTGGAAGGAAAAGTGCTGGTAAGAATTTCATATTACTAAGTCATTTGGAATTGATAGTGCATAATATAAGTGCACTTAAGATAAAAGGAGTTTTTTAAAGGGTTGCACATGCACAATGTTGTGACGCCAAATTGAAAAAGTCTGGCAGAGCTCACATCGTGTCATGGGAAAATTAATAAAAACTAGATTAATTACCATTTGCTCTCTCATCAGCAATTCACTCACTTTAGTATCTTCATCTTGGTATTCTGAGAGTGTTTTGGGGATGGGCAAAGTCAGTCATAATTTTAGCACAATTTAGACCAGAAAGGTGGCAAAATTTCCATTAGATAATAGTCCCTTTAAGAGAGGTGCCGACTTACAGTGTATCAGAAGTTAAAAAATGTAGTGTGACTGAGTATGTATGTGTTTGCTTACACAAGGTGTCTGTCTACTGGAGAGTCTGTTAGTAGAGGTTACACTGTACAACAAATTCTGATCTTATTTATATTGACCAAAAACTTGCATGTGATGAAATTGTGAGGAAACACCACACACTGATAAAAAGTATCATCAAATGATGTCCTGGGCATCAAAATTTATTGTCCAAGTAATTTCACTTTTATGTCTGATAGACAACAGCCCCCACCTGAGAGTTAGAAATTACAAAGTTTTGGAGTAAAAACAAATAGTTACCTTTCCACAGAAATGCCATTTAAGTGTTCTCGACTTTCGCATGATTCAAATACACGGTAACAGGCAGTCTTTCAAAGGTGTATCTCATTAATTGTGAACTACATCATAAATAACTGCTGTTACCCCTATTAAAAAAACAAAAAAACATTTTTATTATTATTTTTTGCTTTCCTCAGTGTTGCAAGTAAGAAACTATGCCACCCCTGCTAAGAAGGCCACCTTTTCCAGGAGCAAACCTCATGTCAACATTGGCACTGTGGGTCACGTAGATCATGGCAAGACATCTCTCACAGCAGCAATCACCAAAGGTAAAAAAAAAATATATTTCCCTTCCCAAGCGTGGAAAATGTCTGCAGTTGACAAGCAACAGTGAACTTGTGAAGCACTATATGTACAAATCTTGATGAAAAACCAGTTGTTCATATGTCTCTTTCATACCAATTTTTCTGCATGTTTTTTCCACTTTTGCCTGTTGTTCTTTTATTTTAAATTCTACATATTTTATTCGGTGTTATGTAAGTTATTCTAAGTAACACCTATTGTACAAAACTTGTATAACTAGCACATTTTAATTCACTCCAGTAGTAACTGACAATAACAGACATTACTGTCAAAACATGTATTTAAAACTGAAAAGCATTGTCCTTTTTTAAAAATATATTCCTTTGAGTCTATCAAAACAGAAGCCCACAGATCTTTATTCAGGTATCTTGACTGGCTCCTCTCACTAAATGTTTTAATTTCCTAGTTTTGGCGGAAGAAGGAGCCGCAAACTACAAGTCGTACACTGATATCGACAATGCTCCAGAGGAGAAGGCCCGTGGAATAACAATCAACACAGCACATGTTGAATATCAAACAGCCAATAGACACTATGGTCATGTTGATTGCCCAGGTCATGCTGATTACATCAAGGTAAATCAATTTTCTATCTACAGTCTAACACCTCCTTACAGACACATTTATAATGTGAGCACTCCTACCGTTATATAGCGGACAGTCCACTGGGATCCTGAAAATCTAAGTTTGTATAATCTATAGATCTACGGTACAGACGCCTCCACAGTACAGACTCTCAGCTCTGGGCCTTTGGTGTCCATATTGAAGGGGCTACGTCACACAATTTTAGGCAATTTTAGAGCTCAAGGACTTGTCACAGAATTAACTGACAAGGCACAATAACACCTCAAAACTGTAGAAAAACTCAACAGAAACACAGAACGCCCTTCATTTTAGTTTCGATTGAAAAAATATATCAAACACTCAAGACAGTGTTTGATCACAATTTCAAACACCTCGAAGTTTGTCAAAAATACTCTGTTACCCCTCTTATTTTCAACTCTCTTCTTGGTGTTAAGAAATGTGGTCAAACACAGTCTTTCATGTTTGATATATTACATGAAATTGTCTACATGTGTAGGTGGTCTCAGAATGGTATGTTTAGTGTGTTACCACTCCCAGAATTCAGAAGTTAGTAACTTTTTTTTATTTTAGAACATGATCACAGGAGCTGCTCAGATGGATGGTGCCATTCTTGTAGTTGCGGCAACTGATGGACAGATGCCACAAACCAGAGAACATCTCTTGTTGGCCAATCAGGTTTGTGTGTGTGTGTGCGTGTGCACAGTATTTCTAGTATGTAATACTAGTCTGTAATACAAGTCTGTAGTGCTTGAGTAAAAAAAGCTACCCATGTGAGGAAAGTAATATGCACCCTGAGCTGTGTGTTAATGTAAAAGTACGGTTACTGTTTACCTTAGAGGTGTCTCATGACCAAGGGGTATAGTGTCATCACCAGCTCTCTAAGCTTTAATTTGATATGGGCCATGATGGGGTTTAGGTATCTTCAGTTTGAATCGGATGTGCGACACCGCTCAAATGCGAGACACCTCTAAAGTTGTGCTAAAGGTATATGGTAACCTTAATGAAAGAAGAAGAGCATTTTAAAGTACAATGTTGTTCCAAGAGACTACAAACCTTTTGGTCAGTGTCAAGAAATTGAGACGTCTCGAAAAAATCAAAAGGTCAACCAGCTTAAGTTAAAGCGGATTCTCTTTCTGGGGATGTTCAGTAACCATTATTGAATTTGAGCTCATCATTGCACAAAATCAAACTGGAGCCAGCATTTTCTAGTTCTAGTTTTGGATTTTGTCCAGAGCATTGGGCATTCAGTCAGTGCTGGCCACAAAAGCATGGACTTTAAGGATGAGACTGTGTAAAGTAGGGCATACAGTGTAATTTATCATACCCAACCCAATTGTATTAAAGATTCAAAACTAGCTCCCCTGTAGCCTTAGTGGACTTGAACAAAGAATTGTGGAGTTAAGACTCGCTCAGCTGTTAGATTTTATAGCAAAGAGCTGTTACGTATGCATTTTAACTCTCCTCTGTTAGCTGTTTTTGAAGCTAACTGCTGTGTATACATCAGGTTGGTGTCAAGCATCTTGTTGTGTTCCTCAACAAAGCGGATATCGTAGATGACCAAGAAGTCCTAGAACTGGTAAGCTACAGTCAATTAACGCTCAAGTCGCTAGTGGATGGAAGGTATCTATGAAGCCCGGGGACTGCAACCACAGTCACATCCCCAAGGCGCTAGAACACCCGACTGGCCTGCCCAACCCACAACTAAGCCACGAGCCCCCCGCGCCAGGCCCCCTACAGGCACCCGTCACACTCAAGCCAGATGGCTTGAAAAAAGAAGGAAAAAAACTGCTGAAAAGAGGGGGTGGGATAGGGAGGAAACGCCGAGAACCGCTAAACTACTATAATTCAACCCACAACGCCACGCTAACAGAGCAACGAACACACTGCAAGCACATGGGACGACGACGCACGTACTGACCAAGAATACCGCTGGGCAATGTCAGCCCCAGGGCTCCCACAGCCATGTGACTGCTATAAACGCTACAGAACGCACCAAACGCTTAACAAACGCCTACAAAAAACGCTACTGACCAGACTGGCTCCTGGTCATAAACCATGTAAAATTTCATTGAACTACATGTATATCAAACGATACAGAACGCACCAAACGCTAACAGATGGCCAAGACACTAACAACCGCCTACAAAAACGCTACTGACCAGACTAGCTCCTAGTCGTTAACTATGTTAAATTCCATTTAACTATATTTATTATGGTTGTTTTTGCATGTAAGGCCTTGAAATATTGTGCGACACAATGCAGTGTCCTGCAAAACAGCTGAATTGTCTTGCATGTCAACTCCAAATATGACTGCATATTATAGTTGAGATCCAGTTGACTTGCAGTTCTTTAACACGCACAGTATACAGTGTTGTCCACTTGTAGAAAATTTTGGTAGCATGGATAGAGGTCAGACTATGGCATCTTTGCAATTCAAAGAATTCTGTTCCACTCAAATTGAATAATACGTACAAAAGATGTAAGGTCAAAGAAAAACGAAAAAAGAATTGTGTAATTATTATTAATCTTACTATGCTTTTTTTTAAATCAAACAATTGTAATACAAGTGCATTGTAGTTCTTAATGTGAGCCAAAAAGCACTGTTACACGAATCCAATGGTTGGTTAAGATTTCATAAGCCCTTGGACCTGCATGAAAATGGTGCTAGGACCTCAAATGCTTTGAAGCAGGGGTCCCCAATTTTCAGCAGCTGTGATTGGTGCATTTAGATCCTCGCTGTTTTGGCGCTGTTCGAATCTCGCTGTATTTTGTCAGGTGCAATGACGTGGCGTTAGATGGCGTCCATCAGTAAGAGGAATGAGTACTTGCATAACATCACGGATTGACTGTAACTTTCAAGCTTTTTTCACCCAAATAGGTAGAACTGGAGATGCGAGAACTTCTCTACGAGTATGGCTACGATGGAGAAAACACACCCATCATAACAGGATCTGCACTGTGCGCCTTGGAAGACAGGAACCCAGAGTTGGGCAGAGACTCCATTATCAAACTCCTGGAAGCTGTGGATGAGCACATTCCAACTCCTGCAAGGGACCTCGACAAACCGTTTCTTCTTCCCATTGAGGATAATTTCTCCATTCCAGGACGTGGCACTGTTGTAACGGGGAGAGTCGAAAGGGGCACGATCAAGACGGGTGATGAAGTGGAGGTTGTGGGTCACGGCTCGAAGGCAAAGACGATTGTGACAGGTAATACGAGGTTGCTAGTCTTTAAGGCAGTGACTTTGACTTCTAGAACCCAGTTTACGCTGGGGTACCTGTACATCACACTGAATAGTTGTTGAACAAGCTGAAAGCGAGCGAGAGCGAGAAGCCATGCGTGAGACGCTGATATTCGCGAGTCAAGATCACGTGCTTCGCGAGTCCGTAATCTCTTTATACCTTGCTCCGCATTACAAAGCTTTTCAGAGGCCGCACAGGATTTCACGAAAAAATGGACTGTTTAGTTGCAGTGTGTGAGTGCATAGAGTTGTCCAGACCTTTGCACATGTAGACTTAAGTTGTATACTTACGTAAGCTCATCCTTTCGGGTCCCCACCAGTCATCCTGCGAGGATGTCATAACTTACCATGTCTTAAACGGAACTGCAAGCGTGCACGACCAAAACGCAATGCGCCACTTAATAGTTTGAATGTGATTGCAATAAAAAGTAATTCAATCTCTCGTTTGTGTCAGGTATTGAGATGTTTCACAAGCTCCTTGATAGAGGCGAAGCTGGCGATAACTTGGGAGCCTTGGTCAGAGGACTGAAGCGTGAGGAGGTCAAACGTGGAATGGTGTTGTGTGCTCCTGGGACTGTCAAATCACACACCAAGTTTGAGGCTCAGGTAAACGAGAGTTTGTTCTCGCGAATGCGAACGCAAGGAGGCGTTATGAGGGAGGGGGCCTTGGGGCAATTAAAGGAAACACGGTGCCGCAGTCTTGTATCGTCCTAATCCTTTCTCGTCTTAAGAATCTTGCCGCGTTCTCCCACTCCTGATTTCGAGAGAAAACAGACAGCACTCAGTCTAGTGGCTTAGTCTTTGGAACTTGAGCAGTCATTACTATTATTTTAGTAGTTAGTGATCACGATACTTTCTCGTCTCACATGTACGCCGTTTCCAATCGATTGTCTTTTGAGACAATGCGTACTTGTAGTTTTTCGGCAGAAAGTGAGGGGAAGGTTCAAAGGAGGCGATTGATTTTCCGTTCCGCTGAAAGAGGGACGGAACATGTCGTCGTAGATCTGAAACGAGAGATGTATGCAGATTATGTTTACGTAAAGGGAGTTTACAATCTACATTTTTTTTTCCTTCGTTTTTCTCTGGTGACAACAAACATAAAGAGACTCTTTGTATTTCCAGAAACTGACTAACTGATATGCCTCCGTCCTTGTAAACACGCAAACAAATAATTTGGCCAGTATCCAGCAAACTTGACTGAAAAAGCTTGATCAATAACCCAGAAATATTTTGTTTTAGCTTGCTGTCTCACCTAACCTGTTTTAAACATAGACAGCTTTCCGCTGTTTTTTTCGTAGGTGTGAAGCAACAGACAGAATTCTGTCTGCTTTGTCTCACCTGTTAAGGCTGGTTACCACTAGCGCATAAACATAATCATAAGCCGACATACACAGACGTAGTAAGATGCTGATAATTAACGCCTTTTGTTAGAAATGCTCAAAGCATATTGTTTATGTTTATTACAATTCTTGTCGCTAAAATAATTACATGTAAACACAAAATAATTATGGTAAAAGAAATTCCTAAAATAAGGCCAAGGGATAAGTTGTTAAAGAGTTCAGGAACCCGTATAAAGACAGGTCAACGAATTGTTTGGAGGTACATATTATATTATCTAACAAGAGAAAATGATCATGGTCTCTTGTATCTAAGTAATACCAAAAGTATGAAAAGTCAAACTATATAAAACTGGAGTCATGGTACTTATAACTCCATGAGAAACCTCTTAGCTCTAGCCTTGGACATATTTACATTCGTAGCACTACGAGTTTCTATTGGAAAATACTGTTACTACATGTTTATTGCAGTTCCGTAAAACAATTTCTTTTCCGCCGTTTCGCGCAGGTCTACATCTTGAAGATGGAAGAAGGAGGAAGACATAAGCCGTTTGTGTCCAACTACCAGCCTCAGATGTATATCAGAACGGGAGATGTGGCTGCGACTATTACCCTCCCTGAGGGGAAAGAATTTATCATGCCTGGTGAAGACGCCACCTTTACCATCAGCCTCATGTTTGACATTGCACTCGAACAAGGCCTCAGGTTTACCCTCAGGGAAGGCAGTCGGACTGTGGGGACAGGGGTGGTGACAAAGATTATCGAGTAAACTACTTTGTTTGCTCTACCGACCCCTTCCTAGTAATTTAGTTTGGTGTCTATGTTCCTGTGTGGTTTCCTTGATTTAATTTTCGTCGTGACAAAACCCTTGTTGTCCGTTTAGCCAGCGCTGTTTTGTCTAATCTCTCTCTTTTTCATTGTGACATTTTGTCAAATAAGGGGAGTAAGGCGGCTTGGCCAACGATCAGTTGTGCTCAAAGACAAAAACTTTACAATCTAAAAGAGCAAAGGCGCTCTTCTTGTACAGTTATAGTTGATCCTGACATGCAAACGAGGCATGTGGATCTTGTCTCGTTTCCATGTTGATCACAACTGTAACAAGTGCTATAGAGTCATGCATCTCCTGTAGTTCAATTACAAAGCGTGTATGTTCTTTCAGTAGCTTTCATACAAACATTTTTTTTGTTCAGTGAAGTTTTCAAGTCGGCCTTATGATTTCAGCTGACGACATGATGTATTTGTTCAAAAACTCCAATCAGAGTTTAAGGGGGCAACTCGCTGGCAGAAAGAAAGTCCATATTCCTAAACTGAACTGCGCCAGTGCTTTTTTCAGTCAGGCTTTCCATGGTTTACAACGTCACGTTTAGCCAACAACTTGTGATGCCGATGAATTGCTTTAGGCATTAAAGTACAAAGCGTGGATGATACTCCTACAACTGTGAATTGTGTTTCAAGAATACGTTTGGGCGGGAACTACAAATAATTATTGCAGTTCTGTAAATTAATCATGTGTCAAAAATTTCAAAAGCCCAAATTCGAAACAAATATCTTATGTTCATGATTAACAGAAAATTTTAAGTAAAATTCAATGGGTCTTAACAGGATTATATTTCTGGTCAAAATCAATAACATCCGTTACTAAAGGCGCGGTTTCTTATAAGTTTTTTTTTCAGTAATCTGCATTTATTACTCTGGGCGAAATATTCTGTGATAGAACCTTTTGAAGGGGTACTATATAGGTGAAGGTTTATAAAATGGGCCTGCAGACAAATATTACACAGCAAAAACACAGTCGGTCCAAGAGTTAGCCTTCAACGCAGGCAAGATTGCGTGACGAACCCAAAGAGCGTCTACGAAGGCTACCCCAGAGTGTATAGTTCTTGGATTTAAACTGAAAAAGTGAAAAATGCGAAAGCGCAGAAATAGACACAGCACTGAAAAGGACTCAACAGAACCTTGGTTTACGCGCAGAGCGGAAATTCCGCGGTCACTGCCTGCTGTAAGAGAAACGAGAAATGTAGTCTGAAAATTTGTTCACAATGAAAGTATCTTGGTAACTACGGGCTACCCTTACTTTCAGTAAATTAATAACCAGTAATTAGTCTAAATTTTCATCTTCTCCCGGGAAGATCCAGAGTTGCTGCGGCCATATTGGCTTTTTGTAGGGACAAGTTGTACGGTTATGATTTCAACCCTCCACCCGCCCCTCCCTCAAGAAAGGTAACCGACCCTTCCCTCCTTAAGTAGTGAACAGAAGGGTTATTGCCCCAATCTATATTTTACTCAAATCGTTTATTAACTGCGTCTGTACCAACATAACCCACAATGTTCATTATCGTACCACAACCACCACAACGCCAACAAAAACTCGAACATATAGCGCCCTGAAAGGGCTGTGTTATACTCGCTGTGAAACTTTATTTTAGGGAGGAAATTACTTCTATGAATCTAAATGTCAAAACCATAGCTTCATTATACGCATCTCCCAGGCGTAATAACTAAAGGTGACAAACAATCGAGATTAACTTTAAAAAAAGCTCAGCCTTACAGTTTTTCAAATTTCGCCATCCGTTTTATCTTCTTCAGTTTCTGTCCATCCGTACCTTCTTTTGCATTTGTTGTGTTATTGAAATGTTCCTTCACTGTTTTGAGTGGTTATTTTTATACTTCCCGCAATTTGGTGGCCATTTTCTTCCGTCTAACTGTGGCTAAAATTCGTGACGCATTTCCTTAAATGGCCACAAAAACCACAGTGATCGTATCTTGCATAACGCCCACAACCTGAACAAGATCCCGTATAACGGGTACAAAGCCGTCGATCGGCACACCAACTGCAAGTCATAAAACGATCACAAGGGTAAGGGGGGTCACCACTAACAAAATGTAACACCTGCAACAGCCTCTTCATCCAATCTTCCTCAACAACCACAGTTTTAAGGGTCTTCACGGAACAAAAATAATCTGGTTTCGTCGCGGAATAAAATCAAGGTCTTTTACGTTAGATGCGCAAAATTATTTGAATCGTTTTAATACGTGGAAAATGACAATGGTATGGTATTTCTGACATGGTAGCATCGCGGAACAGTGAGAAATAACTATTTTCGGTCAACGATATTTACATACAGCGGTGCATGTAACTGCCAACACCAGGCGGGAGCGACAGGAGAAATGAGCAAGCTGAAACACAGGTTGACCAAGCTCGCAAATGGGCGTCCTTGTACACACATTGGTTCTCGGATTATGAACAGTGGAAATATAAGGATTTGTATAGGAAGAAGGGTTACATTCGTAAGGTTAAAAAATACGGAGTATAAATAACGATCAAGTTACTGTGTCTCCTTGGTTCTTCTGAGGTTTCTTAGTTGATTTATGGTAATTTAGGTGATTGTTAGCTTCACATTTATATAGTGGACAAATCAGTAAAGCGAAAAAACCTCCTTGTTAGCCTTTTTCACCGTTACTATAACTCATTAGCTTTACGATGTAAACCAACAGGGAAAAAATAGCCCGAAATTGTCTCACATACATGCTACATTATATTGTAATGCAAATGAGAAAAGTTAGCCGTGGAAAAGGCTATTGCCATAAAATCGGCCTAGCGCATCACGACAACCAAGGCAACACACAACTTAAACTAGGTAGGTTTATCTTTCTTCATACGCGTACTCCTTCACATTTTTTAGGTATAAGAACATAACCATTTTTCCCATATTCGACTGTTGTATAACCTGAGGACTACTGTATGTACAGGAGCGCTCATTTGCGAGATTGGGCCGCCCGTAAGACAAGATAATACAATGGACAGGGCGAGCACTTTGCCTCTGAACTTATCTGAAACTGAAATGGTCTTGAAATAAGGTCTCAGTGGGATTAGCTGGCCAAATTATAGGACAAACTGGAATATTCAAATATGGGCGAAATTTTATTCGTTTAAAAAAATTACAGTCAAATTTACGCTTCGTATTATAAACGTCATTGCGAAAAATTAATCATCAACCGTCAAATGAACTAAGATTTAACCGTCAAAACGGCTAATTTTTAACCGTCAAAGGGACGCCCCATTGAGACCCTCTTGAAACCAGTAAATTTGAATTCAATGAAAGGCATAGCAAGAGTTCCAAGCGAAAGTAATGAGCCACATAATTTCAATGAGGATGCTATTTTACCACCAGAGTCTCCTAACAAACGAAGAGGGAGAGAGCTTTAGTGCGAGTGACAGGCAATGACTCTTCAGGCGGGGTTTAACCTAACTTCTGTAAAAAAAAAAATGCGCAGTTTTGTTTTTATCGGAACTTGAGTCTTGCGCATGGGGTATTAAAGTGTTATTTTGAGAATTTCTGTTACTGTCAGTTCAAGCTCGTTTTCTCGAAACGATTTTTTATTTTTACCTTTGAGAAAAGATATTTTGAGAAGGATTTGCCCAATACAATTGAGCTGAAATTTTCAGGATTTGCATTTTGTTGTCAGTTCTGAATACAAGTTTTGTGTTTTTCGCAGAGAAAGTTTCCATCAGTGCATTTTGTCGAAGTTATGTATTGAAACGTATGTTGGATTTTCTGTATCAGATTTAACTGGTCACCATTTCGTGTGTTTTAAACTTCTCAAAAATCTCTGCTATTTATCTTCTTTTAAAATATGTAAAAATTATTCATTTTGATCAGTTCTTGTATGAGTTATCTTTTCTCAAGTAAGCCCTGGCATTTCCCTGCAAGTGGCAGATTTAATCAGCCCGTGTCAGGTTACAATAGTTCTAAGGGCACAAAAAAATTTTTTTTTTCACAAACTTTAGTCTTTAAACTTTCTAAAAATGTATACTTTGCCATGGTTTGGAATTAAATCTTAAGGAGAGGTAGACAGCTTCTCTTGAAACTACACTGAGAATGATCCGTACGACCAGGCTCGGAAGAATACCGACTCTTACAAGTCAGATAACAGTTTTCCTGCGGGCAGGAATGACAGGAATATTAATGCAAAGTGGCAGGAATTTGTAACCTGACTAATCACTTTAACTGCCCTACTTGCACGTTTTAGTACACTCAATACAATACGATGCAATGCAATGCAATACAATACAACACATGTTTATTGTGTCATACACTTAGCTCTTCAGGTGTCACATTACATAATGAAATGACCGTCACCAGCTAATTTACAGGTATTCCACATGAATTAAAATTAAATTTAAACGTAAATACTATAACCGTCATATGAATACAAACTTTCAAAATTTTATAAAATCTTGAAAAGTTTAAGTCAGGATCATAAAATACAATCTAACATAATTGCACGTTATGCTAAGAAGTAAAAACGATAATCACATGTACAGTCAATAATATAACAATAAGTGAAAAGTTAGGTTAAAAGGCCCAAAAGGTCAATTGTCTTTATACTGTGTTTGAAGGCCTTAAAAGTTCTGATAGTTCTGTGTGACTCTGGTAGCAGATTCCACAGCTTTGGCGCCAGGTAACGCCACGATTTCAGTCCGTGGGTTGTACATGTGGTGTTGATCTTAGGCAGTTAACGCCACGTAACGCCAGGTAACGCCACGATTTCAGTCCGTGGGTTGTGGTGTTGATCTTAGACAGTTTTAGAATGTCGGTTCCCCACAGATCGTATTTAGTGTTTCTAAAATCTAACACTTTTTTATGCTTTTAGGAGCATGATCGTTAGTTATAGCTTTAAAACCGTAACAACCATTTTTGCGAGTCTTTGAGTAGTTAGTCTAGAAGGATCCTGTTTTCTTCAAAACTTATTGCAAATCCCTTGCCCCCGTCCACCCTCTTTACTTTAAGAAAAAAAAATTTTTTTCGGGAACTCAAGTGTACGTCGATAAGCTGAAGGCGTTCTTGCAGTTAACTGGCTATGAGCTCCCTTCTGACCTACAGTTGAGTATGTCTTTCTGGCTAATGTAGGCAAAATAAAGGAAAAAAGACCGTGCCTTGGAATGTACTTCAAACAAACCTATCAAATCGCAGATAACGGCAACCTCGGTCCCAGGGTCTTCTCTCTACCTCGAGAACAGAGAGGACCCTGGGAACGAGGTTGAGAGAACGGATGTAAGTGACGTCACTGGTGGTTTCAGAGAAGTTCGAACTTGAGGAGTGGCAAATTGTCCCTCAAAAACCATGGGTCTCGCAAAATTTTGCTTGAATTTCACGAGTCTCGCAGTCTAGTTTTATAAGCTGTTACGTGCGTCTCCCAGTCTCGATTTTTTCACAAAGCTCTCTCGGAGTCTCTTTTTTTTGCGATTTGTTTGTTTGTTTGCGTTTATAAATGACGTCTGAACGTCTTAGAATCTGAACGTCTCGAGTCCGCAGATGCTTCGGGCTCGCAAAGAAAAACGCTAGCCTTGCCTTCTCGCAAAGTCTCGCATTTACCATTCACCACCCTTAATTTGAAAAACACAGGGCCAGGTTGTTCAAAGCACGATTAAGCTAACCCAGGATTAGCGAGAATTTTGATTTCACTTTTGTACATTTTCGGTGAGGTTTTCTGTTTATATTGTTTGTCCTTCAATTTTGAGCTTGAGTAACCTCAGACTACACAAAACATAAACAGTGAAAATCATTAATGTAAAAGAAAAATTGTTACTTCGGTGAACTTTTAATCCTGGATTAGTGTTAATCGGCTTTCGAGCAACCCGGCCCTGGAGACACAGATGCCATCTTCAGCAACCTGCTGAAAGGGAAGAAGCTCTTGAAGATGCGGAAGTTCTCCAGTGTCGGCAAAACAAGAACAGGATGGTTTACATTCCATTTTCATGGAGGTCACAAACTTGAGGCCTTATTTGCGGGGTTTAGGAATACTGGGTATTTAGGTAAAAAATTAATGGGAGTCATAATATTCAGGGGAAAAATTGATGGGATATGGAATGTTTTGAATAGATATCCCGGGTTATCGGGAAGAAAAAGTGTTGTTTTGAAATTTTGAGTTAAAGCGATAAGGCATCCCCAATGAGGTTAAAGACAATCATTTTAACGGGATAAGGGAAACTCAGACAACTCCACCGGCCCCTCAACCCCCTTCACAGGGGGGCCTCATGATCATACTTGGCTTATACCCAAAATTTTTTCCGGTCATCGGTCTCTCGAAGGTTACTGTTCTAGTTTCTGTCTACTTATGTCTCAGCCGTTTCACATTTACTTTCTTCAAAAATGCATTTACTTTAATGTGTTTTCTTCTCTGGAAAAATGTTTACATTCATTTAATTTAATTTAGTTTGATAACAAAATATAACATCAATCAAAGTGATTCATCAAGACTAAATTCTCGGAAGTTATAAGACATGTAACGCTGTAGGTGATATTTCTAGCACAAGTCATAATTTCACTACAACCTCATCGAATAAAAAAACCAACTATAAATCAACTCAATGATATAAAAAATAACCTTTTCCGTCAAAGTAGAAACACACCCAAGACTTCATTCATGATTTAAAACTAAACTACTGATAGTTTATTTATTATTTAGGAAGTAAAACCATTCTCCAGTTTTAATAAATCTCGGCCTACAATGTTGTCATTCTCGGGAGACCCACTTCATTTATCATTTACCATTCATGCCAAAATTTATTGAAAAAAATCAGTGATGTGTATCCCAATATCTGCTAAAAAAGAGCACTTGACAAACTATATTAAGCCAGTGTTGAAGGGGATCCAGCCAATCTGTATGCTTGGTGAAATTATCGTGTGAAGAGACTTATTACAATTTGCGTCACCACGTTATTACAAATTGCGTAGACTGACGTTTATTACAAAATGCTGCAGCTCTTATTACAAAATGCGTCGTTTGCATTTAATACAATTATGTTTTAATACAATTGTGTTATCTCATTTCTGGCATCTGTGGTAACACCCACACCCACGAAGTCATGATCATTAAAACCCAAAATCAGGGTATTTCAGTCGCAGTTTCCAATAAAAGCAGCGGCATATGGGCAAATTCGTGCAAGGTATCCTGAGCCAAGCAGGATTGAAAGAGATTGATTGTGCCGGAGAACCTACGGCTAGAGGAGGAAGGTTTTGTTCAAGGTCTTAGCCAAGTTCAGTCTACTATTGGCAAAATAATTTCCTGAAAGGTAAGATGTCTTCATTCGTCGAGAGCTGTTACCGAAATGCCGAGTCTCACTCGGTTTTTAAGTTCCTTTTTTTTTTTCTCGATATATTATTTCATTTAGTTGTCTCCGTACGCGTACGTGCCTCGAATATTTGATTTGGAATTTCCTACTTCGCTTTCGCCATATATAGGTCATAGGTTTAGAGATTTTCAAAGAATGATAATATTTGTCTGTGCAATTTATGTAAAGAGGATTCTGTGGTGGCGCCGGTGGGATAACAAATCGAATCAAAGGTATTTGTTATGTATGTCGTGCATTCCTTCCTTTTAGAGACTTAGAAGGGCAATACCATGCCGGAATGACTCAGATAGGCGGAAAAGCCGGTCTAAGACCAAAAGACATATTTACGGTAATGAAAAACCGACAAAGAATAGTATAGCTGTGATAAATTCTAGAATTCTTTTGACAAAAACGTTTGCTAATGTAGCGCTTTGGACGACCAAAGGTTTTTTACCGGCACGATCCATAACCGGCCTTCATACATAACCGAAAAACAAAAACATTTTGTTGAGATCATTCACAACTCCCAAATACCTTATGAACTTCTTCTTTTTTTTTCCTTTTTTTTTTTCTTTTTTTAAAATTTTTGTCACGAACAAAGAGCTTATTGGTGACATTATCTACTAAATTTGTCTTCAAAGTAGGAAGAAAAACCAGGTAAATGGTCAGAGATGTCCGCAAAGTTCACACCATCTGGAGCTTCTAGAAGTCCTTTAGACACTGCCTGTCAGCTATTTCAGAACGTTTGAGATTCCGGACATTTTAGAACGGTACAGCCCTGTCTCGGTGGGTACCAAACTTAAAGTTTTACGAGAGTAAATCAAGAACTACGAGACGCATTTTTTCTCTCCAAGCTAATCTAGGGCTTTAAATTTTAAGATATTCCAGACTTTTGATGACGCTTTAGCCAAACTGACATCTTCAATCTTAGAAGATCTAGAACTTTTAAAATAGACATTTTTTTTTCTGTATAGGGATGAGCACACGGTCTATGCATACAGGATTTGTGTGGGTTGTTGAGGCGTCAGGGGCATAAAGGAATATTAGAATCGTTCTGTTTTTCACCTAACATGACAGAGGAATATAAATGAGCACTTCCACGAGTCGAAAAGATGCTGGAACAACAAATACTCTGATAATTGGGAGAATGGAATACTGTGTCGGGTGTTGAGGGAAGCAATTTTCAATTATTCATTACACCTTTTTTTTATAAGAATGTAAGAAACACAAGGCTGAAAGTTTCGAAACTTTAAGAATATTTTAAGAATGAATCCGAGGTTGAGATTTTGAAAAGAGTATAGTTTTGTGTGTTTAAAATTTGTAAATACAATACAATTATATGTTTTTAACTAAACGGTATGAAATTTTTGCTTTCTGTAAACGGCAAATTAGCCAAAAAGCAACAAAAAACAGCCATAGCCGTATGTGTGATGCTAGTAACATATGCGTCTTATGAGGCTGGCTCCAAAATTGCTTTAACAACATGCATCCAGACACCAAATACATTCGAAAACAGGTATGTCATACGCTATAATCTCAGAATGTTAAGAGTATTTTCAGCCTCAAATCGGCAGAAAAATAACAATATTGAGCCTCGGCCGGGAAAACAAAATTCTTATACAGAAAGAGTGTATTATATCTTCACCTTGTTAATGTCGATATTATTCCTTCACTTTTTTTTAGCAAGTATTCATTATTGTTTGGTTTAGAAAGTGATACTTTCAATATATCCCCTGATCATGACAGCATACTGAAAGCCAATATTCAGCATTTGTTATATATCTCAAAATTAACTCCCAAAATAGTCATTTACCAACGACTGCGCTTTAAGACCTCCAGCGTCTCTTCCAAAATAGGCCATTGTTGTTGACAGAGTTTAGCGGCAATAATAAAAAATCCAAAGCAATCAAAGTCAGATAATCACTTACACTGTAGATATTGGTAATGGTGCAATACAATAAGCACGTCGTGTCTCGTAACAAACCACATAAATCAAGCTAGCTAACTAAACATGATAAAAGCCCGGAATCACTTATTTATTCAGTGTAAACCATGCGAAATCCGCTCACAGATTTATATCTAGACCGAAAATATAAATGAGAATCCAGTATTGATATATTGCTGCCCACGTCCATTTTTTTATATATTGCTTCCCTTGTAATATTTTTAAGCTCAATGGATCTAAACAATAGCGGTTAACAACGTATATCTAAAGGAAGTCTTTTATTCTTCTTTAAGGTAAAGTATAGTCGAGTACAAAATAGAACGTTAGGCCCAAGATTTTGCGGCCCAACCACGCGCCGATGTAGTGAGTTTTTACTATTATTAGAAACTACCCACAGTCTGATGATACAAGCATGGCGTGGCCTTTGAAGGGAAGTTGATTTGTCAGACGAAGAGTTAAAGAGTTACAACAACAAATATTGGGTCAATATTTGAAACCAAAGTTAACGTTTGTCGGCGGGACGCGTTTGTTTTTTTTTTACTCTATGCTGAACGCTACCGACTGTGTGTCTACAGAGAAATCCAGATTCCGCCCACTATAACGCAAAAATATAAATACTGAAAGTTGTTAAGTTGAGAATCAACTTTGTTCAGACAACTCACTAGCTCAAGCAAGCTAAGCAAAGTACTGGTTACCTGATTTTTCAAGGCGAAGTCAAGGTATGTTGTACACATACGCTAATGTGAAAAATTTGTCTTGTCAAATACAAAATCGAAAAGGGAGTGTTATGGAGGAGTTAAACGGGAAGCTAAGTCACCGTTTGCGCTTCTTGAAAAGTTTAGTCTAGATTTTTCAAGTTCGTCGTTTCTGAATCCGTGTTAATCTTCTCCATCCTTAATTATAACCATCCTTGTACCTTTATAGTTTGTTATTATCTCTTTGGTGTTTTTCCATCTTGGTAAACTATGCTATTTCAGGATTCTTTCAACTTAAAGGTAATTCTATACGGGGCCAAAATAACTCAAAACGCCTTGTTGACTGAGCCCCTTTAATCTATGGGATTTCTTCTTCTATGGCGCGTAACCTCCGGCGAGATAGGAATTCATTTCTGTATTAAATGCGGTCTTGTAAAATAACTTTCAGTGTTCAGGATACCGTATATTATTCGTATATTTAGGTTTTAGGCGCAAAACGTGAGTCAGTTACTAGAAACAGAGTATGGTTTCGCCGAGTAATTTCTCCGATTTTATCAGAAAGACATAAAAGGTCTCTACAGATTTTGATCTTTCGATAAGTGATCTCTTTGGTTATCAAAAATATACTAGTCGTGAAAGACTTTTTAATGACTCGCTTTTGTGCCGGCTGGCCCTAAATTTATATTGTATTTAAAGGAAATGCCGTAAAACGCGATGGTCCATGCAAAGATTAAATACGGCTATCACCGAGCAAGAAGAAAAATAGGTCCGCACTGCGTACTTGTGTGGGCTTAGCGTCCTTTTTGTTTTTTGAATTTTTACAGGTTAGGGAAATTAAACTCGGCTGCTTATTGGAAACGGGCTTCTTTATCGGTATAGGGTACTTTTCCTTCCCCTTCTTCCCCGCCTTTTTTCCTACCCGATCCCTACTCCTTCCCCGTTTACGCCTGCAATGTAGACTATATTTGTTAGCGTGTTTAGACAATAGGTAGTCTGCTTACGCGAGTCCGTTTGCGCCGCTATTACGTCACTCTACCGATAGAGTTGTCACAGTGTTGCGTGTTTTCTGACGAGAAATATGTTCAGTTGTGAAATTACTTAAGAGGAAGGGAGCCTTTTTACATCAATGAAGGTCTTTGGTTTATTATAAGCGAAATAAAAATATCGTGCTACAATAGTCCCTGGGTGCCGATTTTATCCGAGTAGTTCTAAACATAATATGTGGTAAATATTAATGTGCTATAAATTAGAAGAAAGGGTAAGCCCACAAGGCTTATTTATTACCTGTTTTAACCATGAGAGCGTCAAATAAGAGTGAGGGGATATTCATGGACTAAATTTGCAGGAGTAGGGGTCGGCAGCAGAAAGGCCGAGTCTTACAAAGATACGTATTTGACCTGGAAATTATCAGACAATATTGTTAAAGTTTTGTGTTTTGGATTTTCACGGTAGGGTTTTGAGTTAGATGACGTGAGCTGTCTCTGTTTTCCTCTTTGTGTTGCGCTGAAGTTGATAAGATCTTGTAAAGAAAACCAGATGCTGAAAGCACGAACCTAAGAGGCATGAACTCCACTCCACATTTTTTCTGGCATCCTTTTTAAAATAGTCCTTATGGCGGCAATTGAAAAAGACTTCTTCCTCAGTCCAGAACGATATTAATGTTTCAGTCTCCTCTTAATTCACGAAAAGTTGTCTTCGATTTTAATTGTTCAAATTCTTCCAATCCCCCAAGTGTTAACGCGCGAATCTAAAACGTCACAACCGTGTTTCCATACTCTCATTTAAACACGCCTATCGACCAATGAGAGCGCGCGTAGTATCTCAGTTATTTTATTAAGTATTATCTCAAGTAGTTTAAAGCCCGGGTCAAAGGCTTTTACTGGTGAAAAGAATTTATTGGTTATATTTCTGAAGGTATAAATGGCAATGAAACCAAATTTAGCACACAGGTGGGTTTTAACGTCCTGAACCGTTTAAAGTAGAAGTGGTGTTCTGACAGGTCACGTGACGTTTAGCGAAAAATAGCCATTATTTGAGGAATTGGTGGTGGTTTTTAGTCATATCATCAAAAAGAAAGAAAAAAAAAACGCGTTTTAGATGAGGGTCATCAAATTCGACTTTAAGGTATCGGGGTAGGTTGATTGACAGTGTTTTGAAATCGCGCTCTTACGCTGGCGCTTTGCAAGAAAACCCCATCAACCTATACATTTTCTGAAAGCTTAATAGTTATAGAATACAGTTAAAATTTCTAAAAAGGTATTGTCGCGGCGATATTAAAAGAAATACCCCAAAACACTGCTTCACTTTAAACTGATTCGCTTTTGCGCATGAATTATCGGAGCGGCGCGATTAACATCGGAAATGTTTTCTCACACATCACTCTTAAAGAGGGTGTCGGCGATTTTCCAGATGTGGTTTGGTTTTTTTTTTTTTTTCTACACTTTCCTAAAGTTTGATATTTTCAAATTCGACTTTAACATTTTAAACATTTATTTTACGGTATCATAGTCTATTGATGAAATTTTCAATTTTTATTGTATGAATATGTTATGGCTTTTAATATCATAATTTTCTCGCATCTTTATTCGATCGTTAAACGCGCGGATAGAATCACGAATGAACTGAGAGCCAATGCAATACAAGACACTTGACAGGGTAGGCGGTGGGGACCGAGAAAAAAAGAGGGGCCTCTGATTATTCTTCGCTTGGCTCGCTTCGTTCGCCTCCTAGCCCCCGGCCACCCTCGCGTGCTTCAAGCTCGCGTCGCTCGATTTCCTTTCGCGTGCGTTGAAAAATAGAGAGGCTTCAGAAGAGGTCGGTTTACACTTAAGAATACTGCACAGGAATACAATATAAACATAGCAATATAAAACGCAAACAGATGAACGTCAAATATACGGCTTTCGAATGAAATTTCATTACAAGTAGATTCATTTTCAAGTGCCAGGGTCCGATTTTACGGTATTCCTGTTCAGTTTTTTCGACATTTGCATAACTTTTGGAAACCACCTTTATTTTTACCCTACATATCAAATATTGCAAGCTAGAAAAGCGAGTTATAATGGAGAAACGCAAACAGTAAAGAGACTGAAAACTGTATAAAGCAAATATCGGTGTTCTAAATGGATTCGTGCCCTCTTGTTACAGACAGTGTAAATAGTTCACAAGTTGTAAATCGTAAATAATATTCTGACAAAAGGTCTAATATTTAGCGCATGTTTCGAGCCTAGCACTATGCAAAAGCACAATTTCATTTATAATTTATAACGTAGAAACTGTGTATACCTCAGTGATCTTATCTCCCAACTGTCGATTGGGTGAGCGCGTTCATACCGAGAAACACTCTTGACTGAAACAAACCCTACTTAATTCTCGCAGATGGAATAGAAACGTGTATATATCGCAGGGATCTCCTCTTCAAAATTGTTTCTTGGACGTACGCGGACATACCGAAAAGAGTGTGCAGAGGTGGTGAAATATTTTGGGAAAAGAAAATCTAACAGCATTTTTTCACGCAAACAACACTTGTTTCCGGCGGCCGCGCGCAAAAAGGGAAATTTTTAAAGGAAGTAAATTTTCAAACTTGCGACAGAAAATGTCAGATAGAGACAGGTTGTTTTATACAATCATGATGCTTTATGTCACTCACGCGTAACATTATGAGAAGCTCTTACGTACTTCACTACAATTACTTCATTTAGCCAAAATAAAGGCAATTAGGCGCTAGGCATTGCCAAGTGTGGGAGGTTAGCACAATTTTCCTTGTAGACGCACTGTAAAACTAAAGGTGGATTCCTCAGTCCGTGTACATCACCATAAAAGACAGCTAAGTAAGTAGAATCTGTAATCGTAGAGACGCGAACATTTGGGCAAACATCAACACAGCCACTAGAAAAAGATATGTTCATTTTTTTCCCCTGTGCTTCGTTGCGCTTTAATACACGCCACGTCGACGTGTCGCTTGTCAAGCTAAACCGAAATACCGTAACGCCGGTAGACGCAAGCGATGCTTTTCGATTCCGCCGCTGGTAGTTGAAAGCCTGTTTACCGTACAACGCAAGCAGTTGGCTACGTGCTAACAATCTCACCTTCTAACGCTCCTAACGATCACACCATCTAACGCTCGTAACGATAAATCATATTTACAGCTCAGTACGTTTCCTTTTCAGAATGTATTTCCATCATGTAGTATATGGTGTAGTCAATGTAACAAAGGCAATATCAGATTCTTGGAAGACAATTAGCACGTAGCTAAGGATATTTTTTTTTCTTACCTAACGTATACCTGTTCTTTTACACAAAAAACGTAATAATTTTAAATCTGATTAGTGGAGTTTAGGCTCGTCAGATCCAGCCATCGCTTTTTATTTTCCAAATAAAAGAAATCTTTCTGGTGCTTTCATCGGTTTAGGTTTGTTTTCTCAGGGCGTACAGAACTTTCCACACACTGTCTCCAAAGTTCCTTTGATAAGACTAAGACAATTTACCAAGTCATTTAATTAGAAGTGATTTGTAATCTTCCGTGTTAAACCGATATCGAGTACTACCCAAAGCTGCCAAAAACCACCGAACCCTTTCAAATGGATCCCATTTTAAAATTCTATCTGATTATGTAGAATCAGGCTCGAAAGCTATTTTCACGATTTTAGATTCTCATCAGCCGTCTTGAACGGAAATGTAAATTGTTTTGAAAGCTCGTCAGTGTTGACAAGATGTTAAAAGAGCTTTCAGAATGTTTATTTACGTTTATTACGTCGCCTCGGGCAATACCAACCAGGAAAATAAAACTTGTTTGCTAAAATTAATTACAGAAATCAAAGAGGGGCAGTGAAACTTAACTCTGTCCGGTGTCGAAGCCAAACTGTGTTAGGTACTCGGCCATAGTACGGTAAGATTAACTGTTACTGGCTAGAACTGAAATATGTGATACGTGTTCCGTGTAGTCAGATATTGAATATATACAGCTGACCTCATAATTTTTCGGAGAGGAGCTTATCTAGATAGACGTGTGAAGGCATTTATGCAAAATCGTACTTTTAAGTCGATCTGGTTTGTCGTTATTCGATTGCATAATCTGACGGAATCAAATATTTTTATCACTATAGATTCTTCCGAAGTGTTCGCAACGACAACAATTTCGTTTTGTCGGTAAGGCCCGGTTTAAACGTCGCATTTTACATGCGCCGAATCAAATGCTAATTTTAGTCGAATCGAATCAATAAGTTCGACTGATTTGATTTAAACGTCGCACTTTTTTGCCGAATAAAATTGCTGAGCGCGAGCGACGTGTTCATTCCCAGCTGACTCCACTTCAAGTTTCCCACCAATGCGGCTGACAATGATAAGGGGCATATTTTGCGTTAAGATCATTCATCCCTTTCAAACACCATTCGAGCAAACAGAATGGGGCGATTTATAATACAGATGGCAGTGTATTACCTCTTAAACTCTGGTTTTCGTTTCACTCTCCTGACCAAATTCAAGTTCATAGACCGTTCGTTCTCCATCTTCGCGGAAATCTTTCAGGGCTCGCAAAAAGAGACTCGCGGCTCGCGGCTCGAGGCTCGGGCTCGCAGGCTCGCAAAATAGCCTCCCCCTTGCCGAAATGATGAAGACAGTTTTAGACAATGCCTTGCTTTGTTGTTGTTTTCACTGGAATGGAACCCGGAAAGTCCATCAGTTCAGTTGGCTTTTGTTATAAATACCTTCTGCTTACTCCTGGGTCACAAAGGCACGATATAAGCAGAACTTAACATTTGGTCCCCATAGGTTCACAATTTCTAAAACTCTGTTACGCTCTTTTCCTTTTTCCTTAAGAATACTGTTTGTCCGGTCTAGGCTGAATATTCTTATTTTTCTGCCTGTCTTGTGAATATTCTTAGATTAGATATAAAGAAGACAAAAAGGATTTTGCCGATAAAACGTCATATTGTCTGTCCTATTACGACTTTGATGGCATTGACGTAATGTTGGAGCCAGCCTGCAGACAATGAAGCTTGATATGACACACAACTTCTTGCAAAAATGTTATTAACGTCGAACATACGGCTAGTGCTGAGTTTGTTGTTTCCGTTTAAAGAAAGGAAGAATTTTATACGGTTTAATTAAAAACATGTAATTTTATTGTATTTACAACTTTTTATCACGTAAGATTATATTCTTTTCAAAATCCCAGCCTCTTGTTTATCATTACAAATTTCAGCTTCGATATTCTTCCAAAATATATCCTTACAGAACAGAAATTTAGGTGTGCTTCGAAATTATGTAGTTTGTCATCATTTGTGATAGTTAACAAACTGACGTCATTTTTTGACAATGATATGACGAAATTCATCATCAATAAGAGGACAGACGGATAAAAAAACTGACGTCAATTTGTTTTTTTCGATAATAAGACTCCAGAATGGCCAAATGCCGGGAATAAATGGGGGGGAGGACGCCATAAACTTGCCGTAAGCAAAGATAAGTGAATTTTATTCAAAATGACGAGAACATTGTCAATAGCTTTTCTCGCTTTTTGATTGGCTACTTAAAAAAGTCCATAAAATCTCCTTGGTTAAAAAGTCGACAGTTTGACAGCTGACAGTTGAACTTGAACAGCTTGCATAAATTAAAATTTTATCCGTCTGTACTCTTATCGATGATAAAGATGAGCCAATCAGCGCGCGAAAAATGAGACAGTTATTGTGAAATATTTATTTGTCCATGGAGATCGTTTATGTGGGGCCGGTGTTTGTGTGGGCTTGTAAAAAAAGTGTAAATACCTTGGTCTGTTACGCAAACATCAGCACTTCAGGCCTCATATCAAGACACAAATTCTCCGCACAGCTGTCGGGTTCCGGCTCATTTGTAGTTGTATGATACAAGTCTTGAGAATTCGTTTAAAGATCACATGATCTCTTTCGACTGACTGTTCCTCTGTTCCACTAGTCCAGTGATCCACTTCTTTTGTTTTCCACAAAATTACTGTAGAGATTGAATTTAAAAATGGCTTTCACACATATTCAGTCATAAACAGATTGGCGTTCCTTATTCGGTAGCTTATTGATAACACGACACTTTTTTCACCTGATGTCATGTTTCATTGCAGTCAAAAGTCAGAAAATATTTTCACTTGACAAAACCTTCTCACTGAAACAAAATGTTTTTCTTTTCATGACACCTCTTACAAGCTGTGTTGACAAATACATTTTGCGTAGTCAAATGCGCAGGAGAGTCAAAACAACACCGTATCTACCTCTGAGGAAGTGAATATCGCCGAAAATCCTTTCAGTGGTGAGTTAGACAACATAGAATAATGTCGGGGGGAATTCTCTTTAGAGACGGGTTTTGGAAATTAAGGGTTGCACCAGAGCGAATTCAAATATTTCCAATTTTTGGCGAGGAAAAAGATTGGCAAAAATTTCGCAAGTTCCAAGTTTTGGCAGTGGACGCATCAGGCAAACATGTTTGAACCAAAAGGTTACTGATTGAAATATGTCACAAGATCTATATTTCTCAATTAAGTATTTGATTAGATTTCATGCGAGAGTTTAACTCTAACCAGATTGTTCTCCACGCTACACGTTCTTGACTCTGCGCTCTCCAGCAACTCGTCCCATTTTCGGCCCATAATTGGACAAGCAGTTTTTGCTTTCGGCTCGCGTTTGTGTTGTTGCTTGCGCCACTTGCGATCGAAGGAGATTGTCTCGCTGAAGCCATCTCTTCAAATTACCGCCAGTAACCAGATCCAGGGTACGAGTCATAAGAATAAGAAAAACGCGGTTCATATTCCTCGTTTCCATTGAAATAACTGTGACTGAAAAGCATCAGATGGACCCGGAAAAAATGATTATGTCCCGCCATCTCACGCGGCAAACTGGTCGACCAAAGTTATTTTCTCGCCGTAATTTTATCCAGACGTGTTTAAAAAAATGACAGTTTAATGGTTAAAACAACAAAACTGTTTGCTTTGCCAAAACTTGGAAGCCTCCGAGACAGCACTTCGGCTAAAAATTTGCAAGTTTTTGAAACTGGGGGTTGCACTTTTTTTACGCTACTTGTTGACAGATTTGGTACTTAGAGAAACAAAATTGGTTCTAGTGCGATCCGGGCCTAAGTGAAAATCTCTTATACTCAGAAATAACAGTTCTACTTGGAAAATCTGCATTAAATCACCAAGTTTGGTCTAAAAATGAATTCATGGAAGTAAAGTAAAAGACAGAAATGGAGGAAGTCGTTGCCTGGTAATTGTCATCATTGACTACACTCTTAGCTTCCCAGCTTAGCTTCCTCATGATCCGTGATTTCCTTTTTGCTGTGAGCCCTCAGGAGTATGGCACACTACCTGAATCTTGATTTGGAGCATGCGTGTGTCAAGTGGTGTCACTGCTTTGCCTGAAGACTCAAACTTCTCTGTTGCTGGGCCAAGATCACGAACGATTTAGTGACACTATTTCACGTGGAAGACAATACTCTCTTATGAGTTTTTCAACGTTGTTATGTGCTCAGAAATTGTCTATCGAACACCAAACTGCTTTCATGGTAGACCTGAGATTCTTGCCGAAGGAGATCGACTTTTATCCATCCCTTACATAGATTGTTGAGAACGACGCAACAAATCCGCGGTTAAACTCAACGTTTGACTTTATTTTGACTAGGAAAAACCTCCATGGTGAATCCTCGACTTGCACGATCAAAAACCGCGTGGAACTACGTAAAAGGACTTGATATTTGATCCCTGTAACCCAGTCCTAAATAAGGTACATGTAACACAACGTCACGCTCTCCTGAACATAGATATTGCCTCTGAATCATGCTGAATTATCTGTCCACTGCGGCGCGTTGGTTTAGTGAGACCAAAGGGTACAAACAAAAGGTTCGCTTGTTTGGGCTGAATCACTGTTGAGTTGCCTTATCAGGCAGATTTGCTGTTTGAAGTTAGTTTTTGTTTTGGCTAAGAACTCATATTGGCGAGATAATCTAATCGGCGCGTGTCGCGGGTCGCGGGTAAATTGTCGCGGGTCCGAAAAATTGAACTTTTATTGTTTTCTAGTATGCAGTAAGATTCTAAAAAAGATAATAATAATAATATTTCCAGACAACGCCAACTCCACGCGCGTGGTTGTAGGAAGATTATCCCCGGCTTTACCCCCTCTTATACTATGCAGGAAGACTGAAGCAGAGATTCTTGACACGGGTGATCAATGTAAAATAAGACTGAACGCTGCAACGAAATATAGACAACTTTATACAGCAACTCAGAACCAGTAGACTGGTATAGTATACAGCAAGATTCTGAAATAAAAATATATTTCCAGATAGCGCCAACTCCACGTGGTTGTGGAAATTGTCTCCGGCTTTGCTTTTTCTTTCACTGAAGGAGAGATTCTTGATTCAGGTGATCAACGTGAAATTGGACTGACCGACACCACGAAATATAGACAACTGTATACAGTTTAAAAAGACGAGGGAACAGAGTTCTAAAAATTGAATTCTTCGACACTGAAACGTATCAGTGGCATCTGTCGCAGAGTGACAGACTGAGGTATGTCCAGTACTGAAGGTACAAGGCAGGCACCGCGCAGGGGAAGGGGCAAGGAGGGCTTTTGCCCCCACTTTTCACGAGATTCAAATTATGTCATTCGCGATTTAGTCTCAGATATTCGTGGTGGTTTCTTTTTTTATCATATGACGAATACATAGATATCAGAAACAAGGAGCAATTAAAATAATTATTAAAATTATCATTACGTTTGTTAATTTTAGATTCATTTCCAGCCATTTCAGAGGACTTCAAATCAATTTTCGCATTTAACTCCCCGCTCAAATACCCACTGCGCGGAAAAGGGCGCATATAAACTGAAATTGTAAAATTTATTATCCGCTTATTTTCAAGCTATTGAAAATACGAAATATGTATTTTTTAAAATGTTTCTATGGTTATTGTTATTGTCATTGTTATTTCGGACCCGCGACAATTTTCTGGACCCGC